TGTAGTGGACAGCAAGATGATAATTGGACTATTCAAGACAGAATTATGGTGTAGTGGACAGTGGGATGATAATTGGGCTATTCAAGACAGAGTTCTGGTGTAGTAGACAGCAAGATGATAATTGGACTATTCAAGACAGAGTTCTGATGTAGTGGACAGCAAGATGATAATTGGACTATTCAAGACAGAGATATACCTGAACTTCTTAACATCCTCTGGGTACATATTTGCCACATCCGGGTCTTCTATGTAAAATTCTTTATGTAACTCTGGTAAACCTGGACAATAAAAGAAGGTATGACAGTGATTGTAAGTATGTTAAAGGTATATAACTGATTTTCTTCATATTGTTTATCAACAATGATGATACAAAAGATGCAAAATTGACACCTTTGATATCCAGGGGTTACGCTCACTTTTGCTCTCTACACCCCTGGAATATGTCATAGCAAAATTGAAGGTTCAATGTGCAGCACCTTGTGGATGAGACGAGAAGACTTGTTTGGTCCTTTGATGTACATCAAAATAATCTTGCGGTCGAGTAACAGTAAAAATTGACAGGCTTTGAAGTACGGCATCGCTCCTATGTAATCTTCAAAGGACAAATATCAGCCTAGTGATTGGTCAGTTTTTTTTTACCCGACACCAATCAAATAGCTGGCTGCGTGCCTTCAATTTTGCTATGACATATTCCAGGGGTGTAGAGAGCGAAAGTGAGCGTAACCCCTGGATATCGAGGATGCAAATTGATTATCAGTAGAGCAGTCGGAGAGGAAGTCAAAAATTACATAACAAAATTAATGTTTACAGGACATGATAAAAAGATACAATATCATTTTTTTTCTAAAAGATACTATTGATGTCTGTCAGAGTGAAATCACTGAAATGAAGTTGATTTTATCAATTTTTTGAATGTGTTTAAAAGATGTTTTTATTTTATTTTGTGAGTAAACACTATATACACCAGATAAACCGATATCAACGATTTTTAAAGGAAACGGTCCACCGCTTTCTTTTTCTGCAAAATGTAGATAAGTGTGTGTAACAAGCCTAACCGAGGAACTTGGTGCGAGCGTGTTCCTCTTGCTGTGACCGGATCATCCCCCAGTTGATTTTAGGCTGGGCTTCTTCCACTGCGCCTGATCCAACACCGGAGCTACCTGGTGATGAAACAAAATTTTACAAAAGGTGCTATTGACTAATTTTATATCTGATTAAAATATCATTAAAGGTATATTTAAAAAGACATTTACTAAATGCTTGTCTGTGTTTATCTATGAATACAATTAGTTTCCTTTTATCTGTTTTCCAAGGCATCATACACGAAATTGTCGTTTCAACTGAGAAGCCATAAAAACATTCCAAAGGTTGACATTAAATGATACTCTATAAAAGGGTTCACTGTTGCTGAAATTTTATTGTCTATTGTGATAGGGTTGTAATTTGTGAAAACATTATTGCCCCAGTTTTACTATGGTGGTATAGGTATATACTATTGCAACAGTAGTGCTTGGCACCAAATCTCGTATAAGTGTGCATCAAATCATTGACAGTACAACTTGTGTTTGATTCATTTTGCATATAAAGTGATAAATTCATTAAATCCCTGAAGCGTTTTACAGGAGCACCCATCTGCTTATGGCCAACTGTTGTATGGACTTAGTATATCCTCTGCCTGTTCATCACATTGATATGACATGACACTTACTTCCATAGTTTGAGGTCATGGAGCTGAAAGGTTTAATGAGCTCTTCAATCTTCTCTTTAGCCTGGCTACGAGCTTCCTCTGAACCCTGGATGTCCACCTTGTTCTCACCATCGTCATTCTCCTCTCGGGAAACCTGGAGACAAGAGGTAAGTTATTAATGGTGGATACCAAACTTCAGTGTAAATCTTTAGCTCACAGAATGCATCGACTACTAAAAGTCTGAAGAACTCATGCTGTGCTCGGTTGTGCCTCTAATCTCAGGGTACATATTTGTACAAACCTCACATTATGCATAAAGATTTGTTATTTAAGTTCATTCAACACAGAAGAGAGTTGCTTGTTATATTTAAATGACTGGTCAACACCTGATTTTTTGGCTACACTTTGCCGAGCATCTGATTGTAGATGTATGATAGTTGACTGCAGAGAACAACTGACTAGGGGTCAAAGTGACTATTTGAAACCATGTAAATTCAGCCAATAGAGAAAAAAACGATGTAAAGTGCCAATTGAAAAACTTTGGAGTCTCACAATAATGTCCTTAAATGATGTTTGCAGTGTATAAAAGTAGATGTATGCTTATGAAAAAGGAAATACAAGAACCCTTCTTTAAAGAAATTCAGTCATCAGTGAAGTAGGTGGCTTGTGGCCCAACCACTGGTCATCATAATACACAAATGAACATTTCTGGTTGCCAAGGTGATCACAATAAGTGCCATTTTGAGCCCTTCTAATGCTGCTTTGAATTTACCTTAATTCTGGCTCTAGTTTGCTCCTGCAACTCTCTGATCTTTGACCCGCTTTTACCTACAAACAAAGGATTATCAAATCTCATCAACACTCTGTTTAGGCGAGGACTGTGGTCGCAAGCTCCATTTGCTCCATTTTGTTTGATTGGAAGTCAAGATTTTTTCTATGATTATTGTTTGGTGGTGTCTCAAACAAATTACACGTACAAAGTACATCTTATTTTCAGTTTCATGATGTAAGACCAATTCTTCCTTATTTTCCCCCAAAAACCAGAACACATAAATTTTGTATATCAATTTCAAATGACCATCTTAAAGAATTTGATTGACTTTCTGAAAATATAAACAATGCATTTCACTTGGACAATATCAATCATGGAAAAATCTGGCTTTTGACAATTGCAACTGTATTTCAATTTTGATTGATTACTTGCTTCAAAAACACAGAGCCTAGTGCACCATCAGAAAAAACATATTAACGCCTTATTTTTATTCAAGGTTTAATGTCCTTGCAACATCTAAAGACATATAGGACAGGTGTCTTGGGAGACAATGCCAAAAATAAAGAGAAGGTAGGAGGGAAAAGAAAAGATAAAACACTCTCTCTGAAATTATCTAGTGGGAAGAGACTGTAATCTGTATTGAAAATGTCAAAAATAGTGCCAAGTCTTTTCAGAGAATGTCTATTTTGCACTGGCTTATGTTTTAAAAGTGTTGTATTTTATTCACTTTTGGAATAAAAATGTTACCGGAGGCTAACTACAACCTTTACCATATCAAGTGCTATGACATTACAATGGTTATGGCCTACGCTTCATTTATTTACTGCTTAAGGATTTAATCTGATGAAATAACTACTAAAGAAAAATAGTTACCAATTATTTTCCCAACATCGCTATTATGGACAAGCATGCTGATTGAGTTGTCTCTGGTTCCACCGAACCGTTGCCCATTTGATGATTCTACAACATAAATATAACAGTATGTATACTTGACCGGAATTACATCAAACTCATGATAAACAGACTGTTGTGAGTCAGGCTGTTCAAAGCATTGTTAGCTGAACGAGTCATTTAATACATATTTCTAAATATGATTTCTGAGAAATATCTGAAAATTTACAAACATTTTGACAGTTTATTTGTCTTAAAGTCATAGGAGTGTATTGATAAACGGAAATAGGAGGTACATCCCTAGGTTAAAATCCAATGTAGGGAGACAGTATCAGTTTCCGCATATTCTAATGTTAAATATTAAACTGATGAATATTGTATGTTTATTATTGACAGACAGTGTGTTCTCTCAATATGACAGTATTTCAAAGCAACCCAGGCATTAATTCAGGTTTTTTTTTCAATGAGTCACATGTGTCCATTTTTCTGTACTGCATGAAACCGGCTACCTATTTCTACTGTGAAGTTTTTCAAGAAAGATCACTATTACATTCAATTACTATGTGTATATGGTTTTATTAAAAAATGACAATTTTTAATCGTTTATAGATAATTAATTTTACACAATTCAGCATTTATTAAATTGATCTACATTAATGCAATACTAATCTATGTGAATTGATCTACATTAATGCAATACTAATCTATGTCAGTATCATTGACATTATTTTGCAAACCATTTTTTTTCAAAATTCACTCCTTTTTACATAAATTTCCATTTAAAATCCTTAAAATTCAGACAACCTATATTTTTTTTGTGGCAGAAAGATTTTTTTACTTCAAAGCAATATAACTACAAAATTTGAAGAAATTCTACTGAGAAATGGTGACACAATCACAAAATTTTGAATCCCTATAAATACATTTTTAGTTCTGAGTTTTGGAATTGTTTGGAAATACATTGTATGAAATATTTGTTAACTTGTAATTAAGCTTATCAGGGCCTAGAACTTACATCATAACATGGCTAATGTAACACAAAAGCAATAATACTGATGAGATATTAACACAGTCATGATCATAATTTTCAAAATTGTACAAATTCCAATATGATAACATTTTTATATCTAGAACAAATATAAATAAATAAATATAAATCTTACCTGAGGTACAATCTCTGGATATATGACCCTGCCCTCCACATTTGTAGCAGGCTCGGTCACCACCACCGCCACCACCACCACCACTGAATCCCCCTCCTCCTCCACCACTGAATCCCCCTCCTCCACCTGCTAATAATCAGTGACATCAGTACACATTTTAACCAAGTCAAGAAACATATGTAGAATAAATTTAATGATTAAGATATTTAATTTAAATCTGTTCTATAATATTGACATCCTAGCATCAGCTTCAGGGAGTTTTTCCATGTCATTCTTGCAGATGGACATTCCAGGGACATGATGCCCTATTCTTACCATTTATAGCAGGCAGGATCACTTCCTTCTCAATCACCACCACCACTGAACCCATCACTTTTAAGTATTGACCGTACAAATTATTAATTGTTACTAACTCGATTAAACTAATGGCAGTATTAGATCCCCTTTATTTAGCTCAGTCATTCAGTAGAGCACTGGATCAGTACAAGTCCTACTAAAGGGAGAATGTAGAAAAGGTAACCTCATACACCATTAACATTGGAGACTTTGGTCTTTAAAACCTGCAAAGTAAAATTCTGAGGTTCTGGACATACCTGCAGATGGACATTCGCGAGACATATGGCCCTGCTCTCCACATTTGTAGCAGGCGCGGTCACTCCCACCACCACCACCTGCAAATTTGTAACACTGTGTTTTCAATAGCTGCAAAATACAGTAGTGTTGGTAACTGTTAAATTTGCATTAAGTAGAGTAAATCACTTATATTTTGCGAGGTAGTTATATTTGCATTTTATATTTGTGCATTTCATTTGTTTCATGAATATGTATTCTGGTGCAATTAAAAAGGTTGGTACTTTTCATGAATCAAAATCCTCACGAAAAAGTTGTTGAAAAAATATTTGGAACATAAGTGTACACAAAAATTCCAATATTTACAGTTACTAAGTGAAAGTGTTTAGTTTACATATATTAAATAACATGTATGTTGTAACTACTTAAGTATAAATGGGATCAGTCTAGATTTTAATTATTCTATCATGTTTACTTTACTCCTTCATGGTTGCATAAAGATAATTGTACCACATTCAGCAAGTTACGTCCAGATGATTGTACATGTATATAAAATGACAGTGATAAATCACCCATCCAGGGCATGACTATCAAATTATATCAGTTTTACAAATTACTTAAGTATAAAATAGGACTATTTGAAACATTTCATTTGTACAGTTTTGCATTGATGGAGCATGTTTTGGAAAGTGTTTGCTGTAATTTAACAGGCCTTTCCACTATGCCAATGAGTGCATGTCTTGATTTTTGAATTTACTGGGGTGTAATTACATTACCAAACAATTTTCTCTCTCATCACATCAGTTTATTTTAATCATAATACTGGTATTGTCTTTATATTATTCATGTTCAAAATGATAAATATTCAACAGATAACATCTTCAAATGAAAGACTTCAAGTAATAAGAGTTAGTCTAACTTGGTACTTTGTGGTAAAGATTTTGTAGAACCAGGTTAACTAACCTCCAAAAGAACCACTAGTAAGCTCGTCTATTTTCATTTTTGCCATGTTTCGTTCCTCCTCAGAACCCGATATCTCAACCTGGTTCTCACCACTTCCATTATCCTCTCTGGAGACCTGCAATGGACAAGACAATAACTTTACATGTAGTTAGTTCATATAAATAACATCTTAATGCAGTTTACAATTCAGAAGTACAATTTATGTACAGCAATACACTGCTAAAATATCTCGCATGTAATGGTGAAATTCCACCAGTCACATGATGTTAAATAGATATAATGGGCCTGATATTTGGCCTTACTGACAAAACAATACTGACTTCTGTCACACAGCCTGACATTAGACTGTTCAAATTTATGAATGAAAAATTGCCATTTCATAACATGAAGTACGAGTTTCTAAAAATATAGATTTTCAAACATACATCCACTGAAATCAGGGATCAACAATATCATACATGTATTTATATTTTATGTACTAGCAGGTTGCTTTTGAAAACTTTTAATAGCCTTATCTATATTTTCGTTGTAAATACCAAAACATTCACTCACAAAACCTACTATACTAGCCCTAGGTGTCTGGCTAGTAGAATTGTACATACAGCCTTGCAAGGGTGCAAATAAAAAACTATATATAAGAAGACAGTCGTTTATCAAAGTAACTGTATGTCAGTATTATAAGAATGAGTCATAACTGAATGCATCAGCTACATTTGCCAGAGACTTAGAATTGGACCCCTGACCTTAAAATGGGATTTTTTTCCCACCATTGTTTTGTTTAGTCATCAGGACATTTTTCTACATGATGTCACAACATTTATTTTCTAAAAATATATCGTGCAAAAGATTTGGACACCTTCATTATTGAGCTATCAGATCTGAAAATAACTTTTTTTTGCAATTTTGATTAACTTTGAAGACAGTTTTCCAGGAAAACATCATTATTTCTATTGAAAATGGGGCCAAATATCATCTACCATCAACTATTTGTTTACTGTTATCTCTTGCAATCCTACATTTAAAGATGACTGGTACAATGTATCTGTCAATCATACACATTTGTACTATATTCCAAATATTTAAGATGTTTTCGGCAGATTTCATTGTTCAAAGTTGGAAAAAACAGGTTTGAATCTTACCGTTATTGATGCTCCAGTACCATCTTGTAATTCTCGTATCTTTAATCCTTGTTTTCCTAAAAATAAATCATGAAAATTAATTACTCAAACACTTTACAATGTCAAAAACTTTTTAGAATAAAGTAATAATTGGATATATGCAATATAATTAAAAAGAAATCATGATCACTCATGTGAGCCTAGGTCTGAGAAAGACAAAGCTATGAACATGATTTGACATAAATGCGAGCAGATTGTTCCGACGAAAACAAAACATTATATTCATTCGCAGCGAGCAGTCCATCTTGGAAAATAGAGATCTTTATCTTGAACTCATGTATCGATTATAAACATGAATGGCTGTTTTGACGTTTGGGTGTTTATATTAACGAAAAAAGAATATCTTAATTTGGAACATTTTCTTAAAACACCCACCTAGAACATTTTGTTGGGTTTTTAGAGGATGAATAACTCGACTACAAGAAAATATTGGCGGTTGTTTGGCTTTTCGCTCAAGCACAAAGCCTATATTATTATTATGTAAAAAAAGAAACAACAACACCATTACCAATTATTCTTCCAACTTGGGATTTTGGGACGAAAAAGACCAATGTATCCCCCGAAGACTCGCCATTCCTCGTTCCTCGAACACCTCTGCTTTGACTTCCTTCGTCATTATGTCCCCTTGAACCCCAGCCTCCTGTCTGTTCACGCCCTCCTCCTCCCCCTCCTCTTCCAAAGCCTCCACCTGAATTAGAATTTCTCCAACTATTATTGTCAGATCTTGACTGGAAATCCCTTCCTCCCGACCTTCCAGTATCACAAGAACCTGCCGACTGTTTGTTTTCCCACTGTTTGGGTTGTGTTCTGCTTGAGTTTGTCCACACTTGCGTTGGTTGTTGATACACTGGCTGCGAGCTCGCCGTCCCTTCAATCTCAGCATCCCAATCTTCGTCACACATAATTACATCGATTGTAAAACTGATACCAATTCCTGCTCAAACTTACAAAAAGTAAAGTGTGTTAAAAACGTATTACCATGCAAACAGAATTTGAAAATATCGCCTTTTCACTTTTCCTTCATGTTTGTGTCTTTTCTATTTTTCCGCACATGGACACTGAAACAAAGCCAGTCATTTTAGTTTCGGAGAGATTGCATAGACATGTTACAGAAAAATATTTATGTAAATCTTACTAACAACTTCTATAAAATACAACACTGCACATGAATATGATTATTGAATTGCAAATGAAATAAATGTTTTAAAAACGAAAGTAGGATGCGAAACAGACTTGTCAGTTCAATATAAAAAGAAATATGGCGGACGCTGAAACGGTAGAGATGGAGGTTAGCCTTTTCCATGCGATGAGGGGGCACAAACCTGTGGGTAAGCGAATAATCGAACAGGAAAATTGTGTAATAGTTTTAAGTTTTCATATTTAATTTTCTGATTCTGAGAATATGTAGAATGTTATGCTTAGAAATTGTACCCCATCAACAACAACAATCAACATCGCGAACCGGTCACGTGAAGTGTCCAGGAATGTTTTCGCGCGCCAAGGAATTCGTTAATTATTTTTTTCCACTTTTGTCTTCTGATTCTCATAATATGTACCCTTCCCTTACTACGGGAAAAATTTCAAGCCGATTGTACCAGGGCAAAATACGGAAATATGTATGCAGTGCAAGGGAAGCAACTCATATAAAAATACTAGGGGTCGGTCTATCTGTGAATAGGGGTGCAGAGAGTGTAAGTAGGTAACACCTGGAGTATACTGTACCATGCCAATGTTCTACATTTTTGCACAAGAGGTTATATATTTCTCTTTAGTTCGAATCCTGGCGGAGGCATTAAACAAATAATGACCTCTGTTACATATATATGTTACATTATTATATTTAAAGATTGTTTAATTGTTTATTGTAACATATTGCACTCACCGTCTCACTGTCAGGTGATGACATAATGTGCAATCAAATGAACATACGGGTGTTATAATAAATTCATTGTGCTCATTGACGGCAAAACATTTATTAAATCGTAAATAGTGTCAGCAGAAATCCCAGAAGGAATTATTAACCCCAACTTTTCCCCACCTGAGGTGCAGATTATTTGCACTGTTCAATTATAAGGAACCGTGTTAGAATCAACAATATTTCACAGAAATTATCATGAAAAGGGTAGAAAAATGTTTTTTTTACTACAACTTCCAGGGTTTTTTTCAAAGTCAATTAATCGTGTCCGGTTACCAGGGACCAAAACACTAAACCTGTGACAATTCCAAAAATATCCATCAAATTGTTGCTTAAGTCAGTTGATGTGAACATTAATTATAAAGTTCAACAAACCCCCTAAGAGATTGTAAAGTCACCCAAAATTTGAAACTCCTGATACCTTATATTCAAAGAATCTAATGAAAGATCGGAATTCATATATAAAATTTCAATAAATTGAACTAGTACATAATTTACTAAACTGGTGCTTAATTAGCAAGGTTTAGCACGACGAAGTATAATTTCGAGTCCAGGCACTTAGTCTTTTAATTGAACAAACATGTTTGTCTGTTTTTAAATGTGATATTTCAGGTGTAAAGTCTGGCAGACCTGCAAATATCAATGCATGCCTTGAAATTTTTGTCAAAATGTGTAAGAAAATACCATCAAATCAGTGTCTGTCCCGATTTCATAAACACTCCTGTGCAACCGTTTTAATCGTTGAATTTCAATAAAGAAGGTGGTCCAGATGAAATGGGGTCTGAGTGAAAACTTGTGTATCGAACGCTTCGACATCTCAAAAAAGGTTCTGAAATATCAGGTTTATCAGGTGACTTGGGTCTGTTTAAACAATATTCCCAATATTGAAAAAGTGAGTTTTTTTCCCAATTTTCTGCTTTAAAATTTTCTTTTGGGCAATCTAAAAATAGAAATGCATAAATTTAAATAAAATCCTAAAATTGACTGATCATGAATGGATGTGTCTAGAATAGGTCAACCAGTAACTAAGAATATATTTTTTTGTCCACATCAACTATGAAAAACAAAGAATTTATTTTCACAATCATTATAAATATGATGTTAAAGTTGATGTTTCTTTTTCTAGTTTGGTAGAACAAAACTATGTCTCAGTTCATATTTTCATCAGTTTAATTGGAAATTGTATCTTTTTGCACATCTAATGTTAACTTTTTTAGGATTGCAGGTGTTTTTTCTCCTGTTTCCTGCTTAGAATTGTTAATTGTTTTTCAATGTTAATTCAGCATAGTAGCTCTAGCTCAAAAGTGTGTTTGGTTTTCAACTTTTCATTGTCTGGGCCAGGACTGAAAACACATTATTTGCAGAGACTGGTATACTGGTTAACTACATGTATATGTAATAAGGAATTGTTGCTCCTCAGACCACTACAATGCCTTCAATACAACCATCATTGACAAGGGTGCAAGAATAACATATGTTGACCAAACTGAAAGAGACTGAGACAAATGGAATAATCATTAACAGTAAACTGATATTTACCAAACATATAAGTGTCTGCCCAGGTCAAGTAAAATATGGAGAAAATCAGTAAAAGCAAAGTATGTAGGATGTTGGAGGAATCAGAATTATCCACGGTCAGTGCAAGAGATGGCAGATAGAGACGTCCAATACCACAAAGAGACAGAAACCTGAGTCCTTTTGAAAATACCTACATGTATATTCAGAAGGGTTCGTTGTTTTTCTTTACCATGTAAAGTCACATTTTGATAAGGCATTGTTTCATTTTAGGTGTCAATCGACATTTCCAGATGCTTGTTATCCATGACAAACTAAATAACTCCTTTAGCAGAAAAGTCACATCCAAGCAGATTTGGAATCGACTCATCACCATGTATGATCTGACAGCTCTGGTGAGTAGATTGACATAACTCTCCCCTTACTACAGCCAAAAACTTTAGCCATGCATTGAAAACTTTTATTTGTCATGACTACACTTTAAGAAAGCATTTCTGAAAAGCAATACATATCTTGTGGAATATTCTATTGAGGTTTTTGGAGTTGATGATTTTATGACTTTTTTTACTTTTCTGTTGAATTGAGAGAAAGGAAACATTACTTTAATGAAATGATGTTTTATTTGTAATAAATATAAAAAGAACCAAATACAGATGCCAAAATTATTGCATAAAGGAGAAAAAACTATTGTTATTTTTTCATTGATAACAAAAAAGGAAATGAAAAAAGGTGCATCATTTCATCTCTTAAAGATTTAAGGAAGCATTGAACAGTTTTAACAGAACTAATACAAAATACATGTATAAAGAAAGTATAATTTTGTGACTAAAAAAAAAGAAGACTAAAAATGAAATGGAATAAAAAAGGTCTAGATTTATAGTGATATTATATTTATGAGGACAAGTGGAAACTTGTTTACGGGGTGGTGTTGATAAGATGTAGAATCATGTAATAAGAATAGTAGAAGGTACAATAAATTGTAATCACCTTCAGACAGAAATAAGTTTTAATTGAGAGATTTCATCTTTTATTGGTAATCTGATTACACCTGACGATTAGCATTCATAAAGATTTATGTCTTGGTATGCTTCATGTCCTTTTTCAAATTTCAACTAAAAATTCTTAAGAGAAATCTGAACTTGATTGGCGATATTAATGACATCATATAATACATGTAATATTGTGAAGTTATAAATGAAAAACAGACAGGTAACAAGCATTTTTCTTTTTTTCAGAATGAATCTGAAATTTTGCCCTTTCCAAACAAAGAGGTAGACTTTCTCCTGCCGGATGAAGACTTCTCAGATTTTACACCAAAGGAGTTCCCTAGATCTAACTTTACCTCACACAAATTCCAGGATGACAGTAAAAGTGACAAATCTGATACATCATCCAAAGACACTCACATCTCAGGTAAGTGAGACACTCACATCTCAGGTAAGTGAGACACTCACATCTCCGGTAAGTGAGACACTCACATCTCGGGTAAGTGAGACACTCACATCTCGGGTAAGTGAGACACTCGAATCTCGGGTAAGTGAGACACTCACATCTCGAGTAAGTGAGACACTCACATCTCGGGTAAGTGAGACACTCACATCTCGGGTAAGTGAGACACTCACATCTCGGGTAAGTTTAAAACTCCCAGGGTATTCACTTGTATGTATTTTAAATGAAATTCTTCAATAATAACTGAACAGTAAATGGTACAAGAGAATTAGAGGACAGGTGGTGTAGCTTACCGGTATATATTCATAAAGGGAGTGTAGATATGGCTTGTGTCAGGGGGCATGTAATCAAAGTTAAAATTGAAAAAGTGCCAGTGTTTCGAGTTGGGGATATATATCTCTTATGAAAGCAGGCATAATGAATATAAAAGTAAAAACCTTGTTATGTCTGGTGACATTTTGGTTGAGTAAGACATAAAAATTGATAAGAAGAAAGGAAAAGGAGACATTCATGCCTTGGTATTCAGCAAACCCTTTGTGTGTGGGCTGAATAGGGAATCTGCACTTGAACCTTTTAGTCAAACGTATAGACAGAATTTTATTATTAAAAGTAATAACAAAAAGTTTTTACATTTAAATTTTCATTATTAATCAAATACTGTACAAGTAATAAGAGTGTTTATTTTGTTGTGAGAAGATTTGTGTGTTTTCAATGGCACTACAATATTTATTTTGTACTGTGCCAGTATGTCAATAAATACACTCCTGCTATTTGTGTGTACTAATTAAGTAATGCAAAATCAGCAAAGAAATGTTCCATTATACAGTACCCAATTTCACATTTCTTTTCATGTGAAGAAAAATGTGATGATTAAAAGTTATATTTGTCCAAGCTCGATGTTAAAATTGTGGTTTTCGTTTTTCAGTTTCAAAGCCAACGAAGGCAGACAAACATGAATCAAAGCCAGAAAACAAACACACAAGTAATTTAGTACATGGAAACACACCTGAAAACTCCCCAAAACGGAAACGTACAAGGCAGACCCATTCCACACACACAAGTCCTGCCACTCCGGAGGTGCCTAGCAAACGCAGGCGATGACAAGGGACCTAAATTGTACAAAGAGAACTTGGTGTATGAGAGAATGAAATCAATTGTTGTTATGTTGACAAAAATTGTGAATATCTGTATGTGTGATGAAAGTTGTGTAACTACCATGGCAATTAGAATGATTCTGCAATGAGAATGAGGCGAGTGATGAGAATGTGGCAAGTTATGATATTGTGGTGAGTGATGAGAGTTAGATGAGAATAAGATGAGAGATGAAATAAGTGTGAAATGAGAATTATTATATGTTAGGGATTTTTTTCAGAAAATATGAATATTTGTGAATAAATATAAAAAAATATATATGAGTTTGTGATAATCTTCTGGTACAGAAATTGGATTGTGGACACATACACATTGCCATATTTTAATGAATTGATACTGATTGATCTACAATATGTAACAATATCTAGCACAGAATAAGGAACAATGGTTTTAGTTTAGTAACCTTTACTTTAGCTGTGATTTGGATACTCCAGACAGGTCATGCTCTGTTGACTAACATGCTCTTAGTTGTGATCTAGGTACTCCTTACAGGTCAAACTACAGTGTTGATTTTGACATTACAGAGGACAAAGTATTCTTCAAAATATACCTGCAGTATAAAATAATCACAATACTGATACACATTTACATTAACAGACAACCATGGTGTAAATACTATATAAAAATAGATACAATGATAATAACAAATGGAAGAGTTAATATTGTAATTAAATAATTTGTATATTATTAGTGATAAATGTAATTCCTATAAGTAATCCTGTCCTGATCCTGATTCTGACCTAGTCTGAAAGTCATTGGCAATCAAGCATGATTAAGTATTTAGCCATTATATCACTAGACTTGATGCAAATGAATACCAAGGTACAAGTTCTCCAAAATCAGAAAGAATGGAGTTCATCACAACTAAAGCCTGCAGTAGATTGATGATACCTCATAATACTCAACAGTATGTTGTCATTTGACTGTGTAAGTCACTGGGTAGTCACAGTACAAAAAAAACTACATAGAGGGTAGAGGTGACTTGACATAGACACAGTAAAAACAGTGGTGAGGTGACACGAGATAGCCACAGTTAATAGAATGGAGAAGTGACACAAGGTAGCCACAGTACAAAGATCGGCTGAGAGAGCTGAGATAACTAATTGACCTGAAGTAGTCACTATTCTTAGAGGGGAGAGGGAACCTGATGTAGTTACAGTTCATTTAGGGGAGAGTTAACCGGAGGTAAAGCCACAGTTAAATAGAGGGGAGAAGTGACCTGAGGTAAAGCCACAGTTAAATAGAGGGGAGAGGTGACCTGAGGTAAAGCCACAGTTAAATAGAGGGGAGAGGTGACCTGGAGTATCCACAGACCATGGAGGGGAGAAGTGACCTTATGTAGCAACAGACCGCTGAGGGGAGAAGTGACCTGGAGTAGCCACAGACCATGGAGGGGAGAAGTGACCTGGAGTAGCCACAGACCATAGGGGGAGAGGTAACCTGATGTAGCCAAAGAACAAAGTTTAAGGTGAGGTGGCCAAAGTTTATAACAGAGAAAGGTTTCCTAATATAGTCATGAGGATATAGAGGGGAGAAGTCACCTGAGGTAGCCACAGTATATGGAGAGGAGAAATAACCACAGTACATGGAAGGGAGAGATGACCTGAATAAGGCACAGTATATGGAGAGGAGAGGTAACCACATAGAAAGGAGAGATGACTTGAGGTAGCCATAGGTTATGTTTGGGAAAGGTGACATTTGGTAGTCAGTACATAGAGGGGAGGGGTGAACTGTGGTAACTACAGTATTTTATAAATGGGAGAGTTGACCAAATATAGCATCCTACCATATAGGGGAGAGATGACCTGAGGTAGCCACAGTTTATAGAAGGGAAATGTTAAATGAGAAAGTTCTGTGAACTTATTTGACAAGATTGATGAACCCTGTCACTGTATAGTAGGTTTGCTAATTTTGCTTTATGTGAGTAACAGTGTTTTACAATAGACAGACACATTTTTGAAGTTTTCATACTGACAACTTTTGTCTTGGTATAACTATCCTTTACAATGTGATACAGTTCAACCACCAGACAATCCAAAAATTATAGTAAATTTCTTCATTCCATCTTTTTATTAGAAATACAGAAATTCATGTTTTTTTATTATACAATAAATCAAATAGAAAAAATAGTAAGGGACCTCTATATTTGGTCTGTTGGTAACTTTTCTTTGATGACATTAGCACTGTCTGTAGGTTGACCCTCATTCTGGTCAGATCAGCAGAGTCAAACATGTTAAAACATCTTAAGAACAAGTGTGGGTAGATTTGTTTCACAAGACCATAAAGAACATGTGAGAAATGGGGGCTTTGTACTTCTTGTTTAACTGGAAGGAAAACAAATGAAGGAAAACAAATTGGATTCCTCAGTTTCATCCGCAGTATTCCGTTGATGACGTCACAGTAAATCAAAGAGAAGTATCCATACTATATCAGAATTTCTGAAAAAGAAACACTCCTTTCGGCAAATTAAGATGCATCTTGTACGGGGGAAACATGATCGATTTTTTCCCCTGGCATGGAGCAATCATCCAGTTGTGGAAACCTTGGGTTCCGCTCTCGGGTAAACGTGTAATTTAACACAAACGAGTAAGAAGGTTCGATAATGAAAAAAGCTGACAAAGAAACAGAAATCAAATTATTTGTTCTTTCTATAAAGTTTTATCCACTATCGACGTTTAGTGGTGCTGTTCATTCGTGGCACTATATGATGCTTACTATATCTTATACACAACAGCATCAACTTAGTATAAAATGGTTATGCCGAGTTTGAAGCTTGACAGACAACAATTAGTTTGTGTCCACGATGAGTGAACAAACTCAGGAAATAAAAACGAGCGGGGTTGACCTCTGAGACGTACCTCGAGCGGGATTGACCTCTGAGACGTACCTCGAGCGGTACCTCGAGCAGGATTGACCTCTGAGACGTACCTCGAGCGGGATTGACCTCTGAGACGTACCTCGAGTGGGATTGACCTCTGAGACGTACCTCTGAGAACAAAGTCATGTGGTAAAAAAAAATGATGTGTGGGAAGGAACGACCCTGACTGCAGAAGATCTATAGTCTGTCAGATCTTTTGATCAAGATAAAAAATGTCGGGGTAGGATAAATGTGTACCATGGTAACTGAAATTTGAAAAAAAAGTAATATATGGGGGTTGGTGGGGAAAGCACGAGGCGCAGCCGCGTTAAACATGCACATGCTTTTCACAGATCGGATATATTTCTACCTCCCGCTCCTTCTTTGCAACATATGATTTATATGTTTGAACAGTCCATTTACTAGTCGCTACACAAATACAGTTTTACATAAAAGCTCTATTTGGTTAAATTGCGTGATATAAATCGCAACAATTTAGGACCATTGCGAAAAGTTTGCGATGTTGCACGGCACCGCAATAGATATAACGCAAACAATCAAACAAACAAAGAGCAACAGACGCACACTGATTGCATACAGCGGAAACAGAGGTGGACCATGAATTCAAAATCGATCATTCTTATCCTCATTTTACTGGACATTTGGAACGGACTATGGATACGGGGAAAGCAAGGAAACACATTCAATAATGAAATATTGGTTCTAACCTTTAAAAGGATGTGCGAACGGGGCTATTTGAGTCAATTTTCTCTTTTTCTTTCATGAAATACCCCTAGGAAACGGAATTCGTATAATTATACGTAACTTGTTTCCGGACCCTTTTCCATTTGTATTTAAATTGTATATATGGGGTTTTTTTGCTATAAAGGAAAGAAATTAAGTTCATGCTAAACAGCCAAAAGATATAACTTATTGCTGTCTACTAATATAACGTCTACATGTATCCAAATCTGTAGGCATTATAAGATAGTTTACATCATTTGACAATTAGCATCTAGCATTTTACATTGCGTACCGGCCTTCCATTTCCCGTCTACGCACGTGTCGCACGAGTTAGAGAGAAATGATGTGTAAGAGTACGCGTGACCTAGCGTGGTAGCCACTGAGGTAGCAGTTAGGAGTCTATACCGATCGTCCGTCACGAGCCAGAAATGTCTACACAATCCAGGTTTTGCATTATTTTTATATGTGTGAACTTCAGTTATAACCAGATTATAGTATTCGAAAAGATGCTTAGACATAATTATCCGTTAATACATTATTTATTCTGAAAATATTTACTATCCTTTCAAAGTCGGCTCGTATTATATACTTATAGTTGTAAGTTTGTATTTCATAGCTCTATTTTTCCTTAAAACAATATTTTATGCACTGTACTTCTTAAATATTATCAACTCGTGACGTGTCGAAACCAATCAGATGACGAGATGATATTGATTTGTCAACATGCAAAATATGAATATGAAATTGATGTAAATTACGGTTTTTGGAAGGAGTGTCGAGTTATACATTAATCAACGTACATTATCAGGTTATAATTAAATAGTTCGGATTCCGTTTCAGCAATACCTTGGCAGGGAAGACTCTGTTCATCACAGGGGCAAGTCGTGGTATAGGTAAAGCCATAGCCCTGAAGGCTGCAAGGGATGGAGCAAATGTTGCCATAGCAGCAAAAACGACAGAGCCACATCCCAAACTACCTGGCACCATTTACACTGCAGCCAAGGAAGGTACGCCTCACGACAGATATTAATCATCCGACATGTTTAACGTTGCTGTTATGAAAATTCACTTATTGAATTTGAATGCAAGTTGATTTCGATTTAACTACAAATCTACTGCTAATGTACGAGTTTTCGCGATTTGAAATTTTTCGATAATTTCGTGTCTACTCCGAGAAAATATGCAACTGTTAATATACTGGCAGATTGTATCATCTTTGGAAATTAAGGATTACACACCTTGCGCGGATGATGCGTGCAGACGAGTCTGGAACTTTTTACGGAATGCTGCATACCTGTGATCTCAGAGTGATGTTTTGGTTAAAAATAAAATAAGATAATACTGCAGCAGCGTAACGGTAAAGATGACCGACTATCACACGTACCTCTGTTGATCAGCCTTGAAATTGGTTTGTTGTCTGGAACCAGTCAAATAACTAACCGTGAGTTTTTGACTATGTCGTGAGAAATCCAAAGGTGTAGCGTAGATATATGACATTAAGAGCAAACACTTGGCTTTTTAAAGTGTCATAGGCTGCATTCGTTTATCGCGTTCCAAACGGTTGAACCGGTTATACAAGAGTTGTTTGTTTATAAAATACAGCACTGGGACTTAATAATCTGATGCTGCTTTCAGGCGAGCCTTGACAAAGCCTTGCAAGACTGCTTATACCCGAAAATGTTACTTTTATACACAGACAAACCGATTGAACCGTATACGCGAAAAGAGCCCTACATGTCTTCGACACAAAAAAGTCTGCTTCACTAGGATGTGTTAGGGCTGGCCTGATAACCTCAGTGATAGTGTTAGGGCGTGACCTAATAACCTCAGTGATAGTGTTTGGGCGTGGCCTGATAACCTCAGTGATAGTATTAGGGCGTGGCCTGATAACCTCAGTGATAGTATTAGGGCGTGGCCTGATAACCTCAGTGATAGTGTTAAGGCGTGACATGATAACCTCAGTGATAGTGTTAGGGCGTGGCCTGATAACCTCACTGATAGTATTAGGGCGTGACCTAATAACCTCAGTGGACGTGTTAGGGCATGACCTGATAACCTCAGTGATAGTGTTAGGGCGTGGCCTGATAACCTCAGTGATAGCGTGGCCTGATAACCTCAGTGACAGTTTTTGTATGGGCGTGGTCTAATAACCTCATTATTAGAGCCTGTTTTGGCGTGGCCTGAATAACTCAGTGATAGTGTTTATGGGCGTGGCCTATAATAACTTCAATATAAGAGTTTGTTAGGGCGTGGCCTGATAACATCTGTGATAGTGTTTTCGGGCGTGGCGTAATAACTTACAGTCATAAATACTGATATTTTGCCTGTAGCTTTATTTCAGATCACTTTTGAGGTTACAAGTGCGTATTTTGGGCGTGTCCTAAAAACTTCAATATAAGAGTGTGTTTGGGCGTGGCCTGATAACCTCAGTGATAGTGTTTATGGGCTTGGTCTTATAACCTCAATATTACAGTGTGTTTGGGCGTGGCCTAATAACCTCAATATGAGAGATTGATGGGGCGTGGCCTGATAGTGTTTATATGGGCTTGGCATGATAACCACTTGAAACACTAGAGTGTGTAGGGGCGTTTTTTGATGTCATGATGATAGCAATAATTATGTGTAGTAAAGGCCTGATAACCATGACAACAGTAAGTAGGATGCCTAGATCTTCCTAATGATAGGTATTGGCTACTGTACTGATGAAAGGAAAGGATCAAATTAATAAAAACTGTTCTGGATGGGTTGTTTCTCTGATCACATCATTATTAGGCTTTAGAGATTGTGATAATTTTTGTGTTGTTTATGTGACAGTGGAGGAGGCTGGAGGGGCGTATCTAGCGTGTCAGGTGGACATCCGGTATGAGGACCAAGTAAAGTCAGCTGTGGAGAAGGCGGTTGCTAAATTTGGAGGGATCGACATCCTTGTTAATAATGCCAGTGCAATTAACATGACCGGAACACTGGACACTGAGATGAAGAAGTTTGACCTGATGATGGGAGTCAACGTGCGGGGCACGTTTCTATGGTAACTATTTATGGCATTTCCAATTAACCCGCTTGTTAATAAAGAAATACCATTAAAAGAAAAAAAATCAGCTGAGCCGATGTTTAGTCGTAATAAATCTGAAAACAGCTATAGATTCTATGGATCCCCTTCCACATTTCGATAATTCGGTATCGCGAAACAAAATGCGGAAAATTCACAGCGACATTAAAATCGTTTTTGAACACAAGAATATCACGAAAGATAAGCAAACATTAAGTCTCATTTAGTAAACATATTTTAAGAGATTCAAATCGGATCACATAAAGTTAGAGAACATTTATGTTAGTATATTATACTGCTATTGCTATCAAGGTACTTTTATGATTTCCAGTTCAAAGATGTGTCTCCCCTACCTGATGAAAAGCGACAACCCCCACATCCTCAACATTAGTCCCCCTCTCAACCTCAACAGTCGGTGGTTCAAAGATCACGTTGGTAAGTTCATCTGAGGTCAAATATCGATCCTAGTTCGATATAGCTGACTTTTCTCCCATGGGCATACTGGATGACAGAAAATGTACTTGCGTCGCAAAAGAAAATAAGACTTCATGTAGCATGACAAATTAAAATACAATAAGTATATTTTTCTGCCATTTTGAAGGCTCTATGGTCTAGTTTGGCGGACATATCCACATCTTTATGCATAGTACATAGTAAGTTGTATTGATACTCTATTTTACAGCCTACACCATGGCCAAATATGGGATGTCCATGTGTGTCCTAGGGATGGCTGAGGAGTTTCGGTCCAAGCACGTGGCTGTGAATGCCCTTTGGCCGCGAACTGGTCAGTACAACTAAGTTTAGTAGTCGTGTTTCCTTTATCAATGTCGTGGCATTCAGCTTTCTCTAAATTCCGATTTAAAAAAAAAAATGTACTTCGTTTATGTTTAATTTTGGAGCTTTAAGTTACCAGGTATCATGGACTACATCCCCTTAACGCCTTTCGACTCATAGGTCAGACATCCATCTACACAGTTTGCTTATATTATGTTAACGTCAAATCGAAGCTATTTTTATCGGAGTTTTGAATCGACGATTTTTAAGCATAGAATATAATCATGTTTAATATTAACCGACATCACATTATAATTCGGTTTATTTATTTGATATGTTCGTGCATTTATTTTTTAGACTGGAAATGTCAATCTAGTGTTCTTAACACGGCGTGTTAATGCTCTTAGTCTTTTCATGTGACTGGTGTATCCAGGAAAAATGTAATTGGTGTCCAGTTCATGTTTTTCTACCCAGCCATATACACGGCGGCTGTCCAGATGATCTGCGCGGACAACAAGGAGATTGTCCGGGAGTGTCGTAAGCCGGAGATCATGGCGGACGCGGCCTACACTATTCTGACAAAGGACAGCAAAACGTATACAGGGAACTTCGCCATTGATGACGAGATCCTCCGTGATGCTGGAGTGACTGACATTGGCAAATATTCCTGTGTACCTGGTAGGTTTATCTCATATTATTGTTGCAAAGTGAGGGGCCGGAGAATCAAGACCATCGCTCTGCCGCCGTCAAATCTCATTTATATATACCAGTACAAGTTTTTTTTGTTTTTATTCGTTTGAATGCATACTACATTATTACTTAAATAGTAATAAATTATTGATATCCCAACGCCTTTTCATGCTTTCGTATATTCTAGGTTAGGGGAATCACTGGTAAAAAAAACCCACGGAAATCTAAGCCCGTGCAAAAACATATTTCTGCTCTTGTTCACTCTAACCAGAGAAGTATCAAGCCATGTGTTATATACGTCGCTGCTCTAACACAGTCGAAACGATTATTTGTTTGGGGTGTTTTACGGTGAATATTTCTTTTACGAAGATACCTCTCGTAATCACTTTCTCGGCCAATCATGTTTTCAAATATTTTCTTGTTTTTCATTCATGCAGGCGGAAAATTGTCTCTGGACTTCTTCCTGGAGGGCGAGATTCCGGGACAAGAGCTAATACAACCTGCTTAGAGATATAAATCTGCTGGACTTTTCTTATGCAAAATTAAAGCGCCAATTTCTGAACATTCAAATTATATTTGAGTTATTTATGATAGCGTGTCTCTACAAAGATGATGCAAAAATTATGACTTTGTTAAAGAATTGTTATCGTTGATTTTCGGCTATATTTCACTCTTTCAAAACGAAATAAATTCAAAAGATAAGAATCTTATACATACGCATTGGGGTGGCCCTTTTCAATGAATTCGATCTTAACCCTAATTGCGAATTGCTAAAACAGGTAAAATAACTCATAAAGCTGTAACCACGGACTTGGATAACAATTCCGTGCTGTAACACATTATCATGTCCCTGTGCTTACAACCATCGAGGTGGGATTTTAATATCAAATCGCAGTTTAATATTTTAAGATAAAATAAGAAAGAATGACTACGAGTTTATCATAATACACTCAATACCTTTTTATTCCAATGTAGATCCTGTAAACATAACTCGCCACGTGCGATAAAAATGCATTTAAATTTCCCGCCATTTGATAATCAATTCGAGCGTCTTGGAGAGTACGATCATCATAATAAAAAATGTCAGCCCCCCAGTTGAATGGATAATCGAAATGTCGGCTAGAAATGCATCGTATAAAGAGCTGCACGAGCAGTTCGTTAGCGACCATGTTGGTACAACATCGACAGAAGTGGCTTCTATTCTTTGTGCGACGGGAATCGCTGTATTTGCTCGGGTCTGTGTACAGACGTTCCTGTGGAAAACGACACCTCGTTTCACATGGTAAATGACAATGACTCATAACAATGCCTGGACTCATGTTTTTCCATCCCCATTATAAGAGTTGGCATCTTAGTTACCAAAAGGGATAGAAGGATAAATCTCTCCGTTCCTTACAAGAACCAATCTGATTAAAACCAAAGATCCTTTGACCGGAACGTAGAGTATCGGGAGTGGAATCAAACATCTGGTTTTAATCAGATTGTACAAGACCTGCATTACATGCAAACTCATGGAACACATCATAACAAGCGCCAAAATGACACATCTGGAGACCAACAACATATTATATGACCTACAACGTAAACACAGCTTTAGATCTTCCATATCCTGTGAAACACAGCTCACCACATTCATACATGATCTCGCATCAAACAACAACATCAACAAACAGACAGACATCATCATTATGATCCGACTTTGCCAAAGCGATCAACAAAGTCCCACACAAACGAATACAATACAAACTCAAATACTACGGGATAACAGGGAACACACACGCATGGAGTACAGACTTTCTCTCATTCCGCACCAAAACAGTAGTACTCTAGGTCAAACAATCAGACAAAATAAAAGTAACATCTGGAGTCCCTCAAGAAACCTGTTTGGGCCCCATCCTCTTTCTCATCTACATCAATGACTTCCATGAATACATGAAATACAGTACACTTAGACTATTTGCAGACGATGGCATCATATACAAGACGATAAACAACAAAGAAGACACTAAAACTACAACAAGACCTTGAAGCAACAGGACAATGGGAGATGGACTGGCTAATGAAATTTCACCCTGACAAATGCAACATACTCAACATTACACCGAAACGCAACAAAATACACTATGACTACAAACTCCACAACTACACATTACACAAGTAGAATCCAGCAAATATTTAGGCCTTACATTACAAAATAACCTATGATGGGACAAACATATTAACAACATTACAGCCAATGCCAATAGGTCTCTAGGTTTTCTAAAACGCATCTTAAAAATAAACTCACCACATATAAAAGAACACGCATACAAAGCACTAGTTAGGCCAAAACTTAAATACTGCTCTTCCATTTGGGATCCACACAACACAAACCAAATTAAACAAATAGAAAAAACACAACGAAGAACAGCATGCTACGTACACAACAGATACCACAACACTAGCTCCGTAACAGAAATGATTAAAAAACTACAATGGCCATCACTACAAACACGGTGCTGTCACACAAGAATTATCCTTTTTCACAAAATTATACACCAAACAGTAGCCATAAACCCAACACATATACTCACACCGGTAGACCATCAAACCAGACATGCACACCCTCATGCATACAAACACATATCTGCTACAAAGGACACCTACAAATATTCATTTTTTCCACACACAATAACACAATGGAATCTCCTACCCATAGCAGCAGTACAATGCACAACACTAGAGGACTTCAAGGCACACTTACCCTATGCAGCCCTTGAAGCCCTCATCACACTCTAAAACATACCCCAGTTTTATCTTTTATCTATACCTTGCACAAAAAATCACAACCCCCCCCCCAACTAATCACTGTAAATAACCCCTTTTCACGCCTCTGCAATAGGACCCCCTGAGGGCATAAACGTCACAATTGACGTAGCCTCCGTAACTTAAAGAAGAAGAAGAACCCGAAAACAGCTTCCCTAGGCCATAAAGAAAAAAGTCTTTAGATCAAAGCCCCCTCTTCTACCCCCACCTTAGTACTAATATTAATACCCAGCCTCCTCTTCCCCAACGCAACATATAAAAGAAATATCTCGTCGCAGCTACCGATAACAGTGACAGGATAGTCAACTTAATGATGGTGGTCACTTACCGGTAGAAGTAGAAATACCCCCACCTAACCCCAAAAACAGGCTTCTGCGGTCTAGTATCAACTTCAACTTCAATGGAGTACCCAAAGACGGTCCTCACGCCTTTGAGCTTTCGATGTAAAATATGTAAGGTCACATTATATTAATGTAACCCTGTATATATAATATGATATATATATATGGTGTGTGTATATATATATTACAAAGAGTGCTGTCAACTGTCTGTATACACGTGTGTGGTAAACTGTATGTGACGTCATCAGTTCGAAATGCATGTACCTGTGTTGTTATGTTCCGTTTCAACATTCTGACTGAATTGTACTTAAGACGTAGACCTTGAACCTTCCCCTTGCATGAATAAAGCACCCTGTATTTCTGCCACTATATTCTGGCTACTGGGTAAATACTTGCTGCCCAGTGGTCATTCTTACAAACCGACTCGTGAGAGACAGATCTGTACTCCAGATTGACTGATAGAGGTGTTGATATATTGACTATATATAGAGGACGTAAAGATACATTGCCGCCAGCATGTAGCAGGTTATACTAGGAACATCATACCCAGTATATATAACAGTATTAATGTAATAACTATCGTGTGATTGTAACATTGTTATTTCAATTAATATATTTATAGCGGTCTTTATTCAGAGGTAATGTACCTCGGTTGGTGCAGAAGTTGTGTAAATTTAGTGGATGTATATGAGAGGGTGAATATATTTATTGTATTGTCCTGTATTGTAGGTTTCTCGGAGCTAGTAAAGAAAAATATATACATAAACAACTTGTTCGAGTTTTGATGTAAAAAACTGAGCAACCGGTGACATTAAGATAGGAAAGACATCTCCATATTTGTACATATTTACATTACCAGACGCAGCTATTTGTTATCTAGAACTTGTAACAGGGGAGAAAATTCACAGCCAGACTGGCATGTGAACTAGAAACTCTAGAAAGAACATTCTAAGCAAAAGAGCTACCTGGTCACTGATCGCCCAGTCCAATTCTGCTTCATTCCTCCCTCCTTTTTCTTAGTCGTCACCCCTAAAAACAATGCTATGTACAACTGAGGTGTGGGTATCAACTCGCTAAGCAGCCCAGTTCCGCTACATTCCTCCCTCCTTTTTCCAGGTCTTTGCCCAAAAGACAACACTTTTTACAACCCATGGCACCACTATAACAGGAGAGAGAAATGCACGGCCAGACCAGATTTTGAACCTTAGACCTCTGAACTCATAGACACTCAAACCAAATGAGCTATAACTGGTCACTGGCAATTGACCCAGTCTAGTTCCACAACAGATATAAAGTCTGTTGCTCATGACATGATCTTCAATCTGTTGAAGTTGGTTATATATTGGTAAGTTCTACATTTTGGTTTAAGTTCTGAATCGGACTATATAAACAATCCTGAAAAAGGGCAGAGTACAAAATTCCTTTCTGATCGATCAGCTAGAATTTGTTGAAAGATCTCATGAACATAGAATATACAGTCCATGTGTATGTTTGATATAAAGACATCACTCAACTCATTCATTGCTGCTAAATACTTTTGAAATAAAGTAATAAGGTACAGGTTTTCAGGAATATTCAGATAATATTATGCCATTATGTTTGATGTATTGAGACAGCCGTCCTGCTCCCATTATACCTGGTATTATATATAGTAAATGTGAATAAAGTAACCTGTCACAAGGATTTTAATTTCACTATAACAATATAGATGATAAAAGGCTTCAGATATGTTCTCATCATCTGAAGATTTCCGAGCATGTATCATTATACGCTGAAGACAGTCGAACAGTTCATGTACTTGTAATTGTAGTTTCATTAGAAATGTTGTATGCATATTATTTACAAATTTCCTAATATTAGAAATATCAGTCATAAAACTTTACCTTTCCTTATTTTCTTTTTTTGGATATAATTTTAGTTTATTTTTTGCTGGAACACTACATGTATTACAAATTGCGATCTTTGAGTTCAGCATTTCCCCTATTATTTAGTCACATTGTGAATTATTTTGTTTCAGGTACACAGTGGCCATTGATCATGTATGCCTGGTGCTTCCCCTTCAGCTCATCCTGACACTCTGGAATGAATACATATTTCTTTGTCTATTTTGCATCCTGTCATTATCTTTGGTGGGGGTCTTATTAAAACTCAACTCAAGACGCTTCAATACCAAATGGCTCAGTTGGAGTGAGATACGTGACAAAAACATTGATCCCCAATTATCATTCATTAACAATTTCCGAGCATATGTGCTTGTTTATACTGCTATTTCCATTCTTGGTGTGGACTTTGTGATTTTCCCCCGTCGGTTCTGTAAAGCAGAGACCTATGGCACGGGTGTCATGGATACTGGGGTCGGACTTTTTGTCATCTCCAATGCCATTGTGTCACCAGAGGCCCGTGGCAAGTACAGAAGCCCTGGGTAAGTCTTCTTCCTTTCCACTGTAGAAAATAAATAAACCTTAATATCAGAATAGGCTAAGTCAGATTCTTTTTCAAGATTATAACAAAATCAAAATGTCATGGTTGAAATACAAACGTATAGAAAAAAATCATGTACTTGCAATACCTGATACAGTATATATATTGGCTTGATCAAATTATTTTCAATGATTAACAAAATCAAAATATCTTAGTTTAAGTAGCATATAAATATCGTATTTGCAATATTGGTTTTGTCAGACTCTTTTCAAAGATTAACAAAATAAAAATGGTCGTATAATTACATGAATGAAGTTGAAATAAATTTCCCATTTCTTGCATAGAAAAGTTTTATTGAGATTGAGTTTACAGTTGCATACGTCTAGGTCTGTATATCAAATGTAAGGTGTAACCCGTCTTTACCAAATCATTTTTTTGGGTCCATTCATTTGGCAAGTTAAGACAGCTTGTCTGTAAGTGTAAGAAACCCATGGGATTTCATTTGTAGCCAGTAGCCACTAAAAATACCGTTTTCCTTCAGAAATTTCACCAACTATTTTCATAAAAGATTAGAAGAATGTTAATGGGGTGTTATGAAATGTACTGAAATTAACCACCTTCTTCGTGTTTGGTACATTCAACTTGAAATCTGATTAACACCCCTGGAAATAGTTATTTAAGGAGCCTTAAAATTTTGTGTAGGATTTTACATGATGTTCTAAAAGTCAGGTTTCAGTTAATTCAGGTTTCACAGGACAATGACTGACAACCTTTTAGTCTTCATGAGTGGAAAGTATGAAAGAAAAACATAAAGAACATGACATATAAACTTTTTTTAGGTCACCTGAGACAAAGTCTCAAGTGACCTATTGCGATCGCCTTTTGTCCGTCGTCGTCCGTCGTGCGTCCGTAAACAATTTACATTTTTGACTTCTTCTCCAAAACCCCTGAACCAATTTCAATGAAATTTTGCAGGGACCTTCCATTGACAAAGGTCAACAAAAATAGTTGCCGGTTTTGTCCTACACCCCCAGGGGCCTGAGGGGCGGGGCCAAAAGGGGTCAAATTGACTAAAATTTCAAAAATCTTCTTCTCAAGACCCAGATATGGTAGAATCAAATACTCTTCATAGATGGAAGGGTCTTAAGGTGCTTTACTGAAATTGTGAATTTCTTGACCCTGGGGTCTCACGTTTCCCCCTGGGGAGGGGGTAAACTTTACTATAGTTTATATAGGGAAATCACATTTTGGACCAACATTTGTTTAATTTCCATTGGAAGTAATTCAATTTGGGTTAGCATTATCAGTATTAGGTAGCAGTTTGATAGTATGCACCTATGAGCCCTGACTGACCCCCAGGGGCTGATGGGTGGGGCCAAAAAGGGTTGAATTGACTGAAATTTCAAAAATCTTCTTCTCAAGACCCAGATATGGTAGAATCAAATACTCTTCATAGATGGAAGGGTCTTAAGGTGCTTTACCGAAATTGTGAATTTCTTGACCCTGGGGTCTCACGTTTCCCCCTGGGGAGGGGGTAAACTTTACTATAGTTTATATAGGGAAATCACATTTTGGACCAACATTTGTTTAATTTCCATTGGAAGTAATTCAATTTGGGTTAGCATTATCAGTATTAGGTAGCAGTTTGATAGTATGCACCTATGAGCCCTGACTGACCCCCAGGGGCTGATGGGTGGGGCCAAAAAGGGTTGAATTGACTGAAATTTCAAAAATCTTCTTCTCAAGACCCAGATATGGTAGAATCAAATACTCTTCATAGATGGAAGGGTCTTAAGGTTTATGACCCTAGGGTCTCACGTTTACCCCCTGGGGAAGGGGGGGGGGGGGCCAAAATTTATTATGGTTTATAATGGCAAATGATACTTTGAATATTACATGTTAATAACTTGATTGGAATTATAACCTTGAGTTGACAGTTTGATACTTTGAAAATTTTGAGCCAGCCCTACCCCCAAGGGCTGTAGGGTGGGGCTCAAGGGAGTCAGTGTGCTAAAATTTCTTCATTTTCCTTGTTTAGAATCAGAGGTGCTAGTTTCAAATCCTTTTTAGTCTGAAATCTGTATGCTTGATATTGAATAAGGTGGTTTTATTGTTTTTTGTCACTTTGAATAATATTTCTGTTCATGTTAAAAACGAAATCAACTCTCTGCATAAATATATCAGGTGACCGTTAAGGCCCATGGGCCTCTTGTTTTTAATCAAGACGTCTTTTAATTTGTGGCTATAAGATCATTAGTGATATGACAGATTGTCGTTAAAGTCAGGTGTTGTTAAAGACAGGTTTCACACTATGAGATGACATTTAAATATGAGTTCCTGGGAATAGTCTACAGTTGCCTACTTCCAGATATAAGCTTTCCATACAGGTCGGTAAAACTTTGCTTACCTGTACATTTTAATGTAGATAAATCACATGATCACCACTAGTTCCTTTAAACTGCCTGGAACTTAATAAATGAAAATAACCTAGGTATCTCAAATTCATAGTAAATATATGAAATAAAACCCCAATTTAATGCCCCTTCTCTATATTTGTTTTTGCTACTTGGTTAAAAATAACAAGGTTTTACTGTTTATGTAGTGATTCTCCAAGTGCTCTTTCACTTGACAGGGTTCGTTGCCTAGTGAACTGCCTTATATCCTGTTTACCATTGCTGTTTCTGGGGCTGCTGCGATTTGCCCTGACAAAGGGAGCTAACTACCATGAACATGTGTCCGAGTATGGTGTACACTGGAACTTCTTCATCACGCTGGCTGCTTTGAAGGTATACTATGACCGCACCCAAGAAACATAAGCTAATCAGTTTTATAAGACCTTATGTGTGAAGCATTGTCCCGTCATGGACGTTGAATACTTTAGATTATTTTATTTTCTTAATTTTGCGACAGGACCTTTTCTAATATTAATGCATGGACTTTGTTTCACATTTTACTCAACACGTACGTTTTATGATAATGCATAATTTAATATTTTCATGATACTTGAAGTGGTAATCATAATCTTGAGAGAACTTTATCATAATTAAATACATATACCACATGAAATGTAATTAATACACATTCGTTAAACAAAAATTTTCCCTGAAGCATCGGACATAAACATGCAAAAATGTGATAAGACATTTCATGTTACCCCATGTATGTAACAAACTGGAGGTGAGTTTGTTAGCCAGGCTATTGAATATTATATCGGGCAACAATGCTTTTTTCCAGCATATTCCATTGTGACGTCATGATTTGTAGCATTTTGTTTTGTTATCAGATAAAGGAATTGTGTGTTACCAAGGGAAATACCTGGTTGCCTATAGCTAATAGAAAGTTATGGTAGAAAAAGGACCTCCAACCTAGCTTATGATGGCTGGTTTTCATCATCATGTTATACAACTCTAATTAGTTCATTCTCAAAATGTAAAATAAACTTTTGTCAACCTCTCGTCTGTTCTGTTTCTGGAAAAAAATCATGAGGTTTAAATTTTGTATAACAGCATTAATAGACAATAATCTTAACTAAATGGTCCGTATTTTGCATATTGTTTTAGGCCATGAATATAGCAAGATATATATAAAGACTTTATAATAAATATATATCAGCACTATACAATTAATTTACCAGTAAGCTCTTCAATTTACAGTAAATAAACGTGCTACACATTAATTATAAACACTTTGCAGAAAAAAACTGTGTCAAAAGCACTTTTATATACGTGTATTAAATAGATTATATTTATTCATGGTTCACATCAGTGGTTAAACCCAGCAAGCAATATTTAATTAAGGTTGTTGACTTTATTAGTGGCTGTTTAAAATTGGTGTAAAACTTAAGAATAGACTCTTATGTATTATGGTAATTACGGAAACCTGATATACTCAGATTGTCAGCTTGGTCGTACAAATGTCAACTGAACATATGGATTTGAATACATAATACAGGTCTTTTTCAAATATATCTTCTTCTCTGTACCATTAAATCATAAAAACACAATAGACATTCATGAAACTCATTTGTTTACGTTATTGTTACAGATAATGTCAACACTGTTCTACATCTACGTTCCTGAGTTTCTGTGGAGCCTTTGTGCTCTAGGTGTAATGGCAGCCTATCAGTACAGTCTGGATTATGGAGGAGTGAAGGATTATCTTTTACTGGGGGAGGACGGACAGGGTGGCCGCGAGGGACTGCTCAATGCCAATAGAGAGGGCATATTCTCCTGCCTTGGGTACTTTGCGCTCTACGTGTTTGGAACAGAAATAGGAAAAATTATTTTCAGATATGAAAGGCAAGTTTTAACAAAAATAATTGGTGTTATGTGGTGAAATCAAATTAAATAAAAACAAAACAATACCATGTAAAGATGACCTCCCCTCAAACACTGAATCAGTGATTTATACTAGTTCTAAGTGGCCATGAGCAGGTTTTAAATCTTATGAAGTCAATGATGTGAACATAGCTGGAAACAAATACCAGTTGACCTCTGCTGCTTAACTCTTATTAGTATCTGATGAGGAGACAGGCTAACATGATTAACTCCTGAAAACTCCATATCATCAACACACAATTGTTTCTACTAAAATCCAGCATTCATTTTGTAGTCAATTAATCAGTTTATTGGCCTCACAGACCAATAGTTGACGAAGTCATTTAAACGGAACACCACTATCTGTTTCTGTGCAGTGTTTATTTTGCACAAAGCTTTCATTATATATGAAGATCAAATTGATCTTGTGTATCCCAAAATCCAGTGTATTGTAAATGGAGATAGTTATTAAGTTAGAAAGTTTTCTTTTGTTAGATTTCACTTTTTACAAATGTTTTTGAACTTACAGATGGACAATGTCAGCGTGGCGGACTCTGTTAATCGTCATGACAGTCCTATCCATGTTTTTCTGGGGATTGTATAGTGTATCGGCTTTGGCCTATGGAGAACCAGTGTCACGCAGATTTGCCAACCTCACCTATGTTTTATGGATTGTAAGTATAATCTATTGTAGAGGCCGGGTTTAGGTCGAGTATAGAACATATCCAGTTATACAATTTTGAACCCTGGTCCCACCACCTGAGCTAAAAAAACAATAATAGATGAATAGGAATAAATAACTCTGATCCAACTTGTTAACCATTTTCTAATAGTTTGTGGGAGGGGCGGGGGATTGCTCAGCGATACGTTGATGACAGTCGTGCACCGACTTCCATGCTTATTATTTGCTGCAGTGATGTCATCTTCGAAATGCAAGGAATCCACTTTCAATACACATATCCTGTTCAATTGAATGATTTAATGCAATCCCTATTTCAAGGTTTAATAATATGTCATGTAACAAAAATAGACAGTGTAGACAGACTACAAGATATACTAAGCCTTTGCATAGAAAAGACCACAAGGTGACAAACAAATTCTGGAGAGGAATTTGTATCGACTCTATCATCACATGAGAATATATGTTGTAATTGTGTAGGCTTATTGATAATCTAATCTTTTAAACTAAACAATTTTATGGATCAAGAGATCTCCTTATGATTTATTAATAGTTTTTGAGAAGAAATGTCAGTGAATTCTTTTTTTGAAATAGATATGTTTTGACCGTACAGGCGATAATAAATTTGTGCCATCATTTACACCCATTGTTTTACAGTTGGCACTGTCCACACAGACCATGTCTGCACTGTTGTTGGTGGATCTCATTGTGGAGTACCTCAGAATATCAGCAGGTCAGGGTACAAAGTGTAAATCAATTTCAGATTTTCTCATTTTTAAGTTAATTTGGGAATCACCAATTTCAGTACAAAAATGTGTAAACTTTGACCCTTTAACAAATATGTCCGCCAAAGTAGCAATTATCCATGTTACTGTCAAACATTACTTAAGCGGAAAAAATTAGCATATCCAAGTCAAATCTCTGACCTGTTTATCCAATAACAATTTTTGTTCAGTGCCAAACTTGACATTTATCTTTGTATTTCAGGTGTGACAATCCAGACCTTGCCAACTAGAGGTCTCCTGAATGCTATCAACTATAACGGTCTATTTTATTTCCTGCTGTCCAATGTCCTTACTGGATTGGTCAACATCTCCATGGCAACCATCCACATGCCTCCGTTGCCAAGCTTCCTAGTCCTCACACTGTACATGTCTTGTCTGTCAGCCATATCTGTGTATTTGTTTGTCAGGAGAGTGAGATTAAAGTTTTGGTAAAGTTGTTGCAGATTTCGTTTTTATGTAACATATTCATCCCAATTCTTTCAAATTTTTCAGAGAAGAACACTGTCTTTATACACAAAAGAAAGGTCCATGAAAGTGATGAATTACCCCAACAACTTAGCGAAGGCCCTTATTCTGAACACTGAATCAAAGGATTTATAAAATTAAAAACAACTGCAGTCATATGCATCTTGAATTTTTATTTGTACAAAAATCATCTGATGATATATCAATGAAAATTGTCAGCATTAGCAGTGCGTGCTTTGATTAGAAATTTCAAATGAAATACAGCATTACAAATCCTACTGCCTTATGATCACATATATACAATGCATTAATTAAATAAAAACTTTCAATCATGAACTCTTAATATATAAATAGAAATATTTGACTCGATTGATATAAATATTTGATAAACACACCATCATTCAGCACTATTTATACATATGTATAAGTATTTAGTAAACCTATCACAAATCCAGTACTAAAACTTCACTTACACTTGCCACAAATTTACACATACAAACATTTTGTTCATGCACTTCATATCTATAGACAACCAAAACCTTCTATAGCAGATAAAAAACAACCATAAAACTATCCATTCTTAAATTATGGTCCGATATATAATTAATCTGTAATAATATCTATTTAAAGATTGTGGGATTGGAAAGGATTAAAGAGCGATTTCAAAGATTGTAAAAACTGCAAGATCAATATTTGGTCTTAATACATGTCATGTACTTGTCTAAAGAAATTCTCATTTCATGCTCATTTGAAGGACATATTTAAACTGGAATCATTTTACACCCTTTCTCAAATGTCTGGGTCAGATTAAAAAATCTTGTATCACAAATATTCAAATCTTCCCTTAACAGAAATGATAATTATTTGGTTATCTTCCCTGAAAAGTGCCTTCTTCACTCGGCATCGTTGTGTCAGGCTAGCATTGTGAAAACTATACTTTACAATTTTGGTGACATTTTGTTCATGAGTTTTTCTAGCTTCATGGCCAAAGCCATGTCTCCTTTGATCTTTAGTTTGCCAGACATAAAGGCTGCAACAGGTTTGAGCTCTCCTCCGAACATCTTCTGAAAGTCAGCACTGTCCATGCTCATTGTACAGTCAGCTCCCATTGGGGGCTCACCAGGTCCCAAACTACCCTCGCCAGATTTCAAATTGATGAACCATGTACTTTCATCAGTCCCTACAACACAAAAACAAACTCAGGTACATTGCCCGACAACCAGCTGAGATGGACGCTACTGATATAATGTATGGCCGGCAACGTTTGCCTAAGTGACAAATCTAACATGTGAAATCTGTACTAGTATAAGCCTAAAATTAACACTACCTTCACACTGGAAATACTGTATACAACCAGTCTTAGTCATGATAAACTTGCTCTCATTACAGAGAAACAGTGTAGTGTAGTTAATTATTGTAATGTCATCAGGCATTAGCACACAAGAACAGGCTTGTATACAGTGTACCCAGGTAGTAAGGTTGAATTAGTTTCAAACTTCAAACAAATGTACATCTTGCATTAAAATTGATATGCTGAACAAAGACTAAGGCCATATGTCCACAGATGACAGGCCACTCAAAGGGCACTTTAAGTGATCACTCACTGAAATGTCAAAAGGCCAAATAGAAAAAATGTTTTCCGCAAACTACCTACCTTAGATTTTTGTGCCTACCCTAAGAGATTTTATCATATAGTGATAATGCACTGTTAAAGTCAGAAGTCTGCTCTATATAAGCGTAGTGAAAGTATTTTCCAAAATGAAATTGGAACGTTAGCAGAAACAAGTATTTTTTTGTTTTGCTTAACCTGGACATAAACACTCCACCCTGTCACAATATTCTGACAACAGTCCTTCCTGACATCCATCAAATACTAAACATTGTGCAGAGATATCAGAGACCAATAACAAGACTATATTATTTACTCGTTTTTATGAATCTGCCAAGAGACCACTTACCTGATAAATTGAACTGGAAGACACCTCCGATACTGCCTACTAGTTCCTCACTAAGCATAGTCTGGATGGCGTCAAAGGTCTTGGCTGGTCCAGCACCCCCTTTGGTTCCGCCAAAAGCAGGCGTGGCACCACCTTCAGACATTTGCTCCCTCAGTGTGTTGGCATCAACATCAAGGAAGAAGTCGGGTAGAAGTTTGCTGCCTAAAATAAGGTACAGAATTTTTCTTTAATTAGACCAGGGCCCTGCGTCATGAATTTTCTCTAAAATCTTTCTTGAATCAAGAATTTTTAATTTTTCCAAGCCTGAACTCCTGTAGTCACTAGAAAACGGGTCATTAAGATCTGTATTGCTAAATCTGATACATGTACTTTATTAACAGACAACTTAAATGCATTGATTAGTGTTACTTCATGATCAGTAAATTCATGAATGTGGCTAACATGGTATTATTATGTGTTTAGGGCCATGTGAACTCTTGCCAAGTTTGGTCAAAATCTATATGGCTGATTCTGTGAAGATAAAAACAATGCAAAAGCTAATCAGAAGTAACAAATCATTTCAAATAAAACTTGAAAGAAACATTTCTTAGGACCATGAGGAAATCATACTACGTCTGAAACGATTCTTTCAACAGAGGTATAGGATTAGAAAATCTGTTGTTACTACTCCCTTTAAAAGTTCCTTTTGAAACAAAATGGGCTGTAAATTAGGTAATTAATGGCAAGAGATCCCAGAGCTACGGATCTTGGCACCCACCATAGTACCATCTTCATTAGTTCTATGTAAGTTTGATCTTTTCTCTATCTGCCATCTTAATCAACCTTTTGATCAACCTCAAAAGCTAACATGCACAACTCAGGACCAAGTGGAACATACATATCAAATTTGAGAAAAAATTCTCCAGTAAATTCTGAGAAATAGCGATAAGAAGCTTAAACTGTAACAAGATGGCCAGCCAATATGATTTGATATGCATAACTAAGAACAAGAGGACCCTTATGTGAAATTTGAGAAAGATCCATACAAGACCTTTTGAGCAATAGGGCTAAAAAACGTTTACCCCCAAACTCAATACGATCACCTGCCACCCATCTTGGTTTTCCAATCATCCCAAAAATTTGAAATGCATAAACTAGGGATCATGGGGAACCTTTATGAAAGATTTAAGAAAGATCCCTCCAGTACATTCTGAGAAATAGTGCTTACAAACTTTAACTTTCAAATTCAAGATGGCTGCCTATCGGCCATTTTGGATTTGCAATCAGTCCCAAAAAAAAGATATACATAACTAGGGATCATGGGGAACCTTCATGTGAAATTTAAGAAAGATACCTCCAGTACTTTCTGAGAAATAATGCAAACAAAATTTTTCAAGGACGGACGCAATGATGGAATGACGGACGAAATGATGGGACAGATGGACCACGGATGCAGGGTGATTTGAATAGTCCACCATCTGATGGGCTTATAAAGAATGAGACAATCTTATAACATGTAAGACAGTTGGTATCAATAGAGAGCAGCACTTTGGTCAAAAGTACATTTGAGGTCAAATCTTATGATTTGGGTAACATCATGCATTTATTGATGGGGGTATGTGGAATTGGAGATAGCGCTATAGGGCTATCCATCAAGTGGTGACCAAGTCAGTCATGGATGACAAAAGAAAGGAACTTGAGTGGGAAGGCCGGGTACAGCACCTGGTGTGCTATAGAACTATGTTTGTTGTTGTAACTCTATATTATCTGTGTGCAGGTAGATTTGCTGTGTTGTTCAAGAAAGAGTTTTCAGCATGTTGTTTAACACTTTGCTTAGGTCTGTTTCTGATTCTAATATATGAGATAACGATACATGTGACCCTAGTTTTGTACCTTTGACCCAACTGTATTGCTCCATATCCTTGATCCCTTCTGCTGTGAGTACTTCGTCATCAATGGCGAAGTTCCCAGTGTAGGATTTGCTGTTTTTGGTCAGCATCACATAGGCAGCATCCGACATGATTTCAGGCTTGCGGCACTGCTTAGCTACCTCATCTCCACCCCCTAACATCTCCATGGCAGCAGTGTAGATGGCTGGAAAATACCAACACATTTAAGTAAATGGGCAGACAGCTGTTTCAGATCAAACTCGGTCATGTACAGCTTCCAAATGCCTATTTTATTTAGAAGTTTCTTTTTTTCTTTTCTTTCTGGTTGTATTATTTCAAAAAAAAAGTAGATCCAGTGAAAAAAATATGTCATTTTTAGAATTAGAATAGGAGCTCAAAGTAAAGCAAACATACAAGAACAAGAGGCCCAGAGGGCCTGTATCGCTCACCTGGATATCTAAGCAATCATGGCAAAATATTCTCCAAATGAGATCCAAGGGAATATGCCAGACCCCAAGGCCAATCCTTGTAGCATATCTGAATTAGATTGTTCATGCCCAGCAATTTTATGTATGGTTATGGGTGGGGATCTCAACTGTTTCTAAACTGTGACTCAGGAACGGGGTCCCTAGGGTTGTGGCCAGAACCCAGGATCAATTCTAATATCATGACTGCATTATTCTCTTTTTGACCAGCATTTGTATATACAGTTTTGGGGTGGGGATCTCAACTGTTTCAAAAATATGACCCAAGGGTTAAGTTTGAAAGGGTGGGGCAGACCCTGGGGTCAATTCTAATATCATGACTGCATTCGTCTCTTTATGCCCAACAATTGTATATATAGTTTTGGGGTGGGGATCTTAACCATTTTAAAGTTATGGCCCAGGGACTATGTCTCAAAGGGTGGGACCAGACCCTAGGGCCATCCTGGAAGCAAATGTGCATTCTTCTTTGTATACTCAGCAATTGTATATATGGTTTTATGGTGGGATCTCAACCATTTCCATGTAATAAACTTTTTTTGGCCCCACCCCTTAGCCTGGGGGGTCAGCCCCACCATTTGTACAATTTTGAATCCCTCCCTCCCATGAATGCTTCCGACAAAATATGATCGATATCCATGGCATAGTTCTACAGAAGAAGTCGTTTGTAGCAATATAGCCAAATTGCCCCCTTATGGCCCCACCCCTCAGCCCCCTGGGGGGTCAGCTCCACCATTTGTACAATTTTGAATCCCCACCACCTAGGGATGCATCCAGTCAAATTAAATTAAATTCCAATCAGTAGTTAAAAAGAAGAAGTCGTTTAAAGAAATTGTTGACGGACGGATGACGGACGCCACAGTATGGCATAAGCTCACCTTGGTCCTTCGGACCTGGTGAGCTAGAAAATGTAATTACACAAGCTACAGCATTTTGTATTAATCAGCAAAACATTGAAACAATGAAGACAGGAAGCTTTAAATATAGCAGATAATGAGTAATGACAATTAAATAGGCCACAAAGACTTGATATATAGACCACAAAGACTTAATTGATATGTAGACTTATGATTACCATATCAAAAGGTGAAGCTATATTTATATGAGGTGTATAGATAGATCTTTTGTCCAAAGTAAGACAGGTGAAACAGCTGTGATGTCCCAGGGTACACCTGAACAATGAACAAATGAATGTACCTTGAAAAATCATGCTATGACTCGATATAATTTTCCACATAAAGGTTAACTCTACAGGTTTATTTTAATTAGATTATAAGCTGATTTACCTACAAGGGTGTGGAATACATATTCAGGAAGATGATGGGACATTAAATTTGTTTAAACCTTTTGAAATTTACCTGTTCTTGGCCAGAGAGCATTCACAGCAATACCTTCAGGTTTGAACTCCTCAGCCATCCCCAAGACACACATGGACATCCCATACTTGGCCATAGTGTAGGCTGTAAAATATTACCAGTACTTCCTAAATAGTCAAGTTAGGGTATGAATTTACCAATCATCAGCAAGCAACTCCCTAAATCAGCTTCATGATTATTGAACTTTGGACACCAAAAGAAAATAAATTGTACCTTCCCTCTAGAATCAACATTGAGATCATTTCCCATTTCAATGTTTACTTAATCAGTTGCAACATTTGATTTTCAAATGTATTTCACACAGAAGTTTCAGGGGGTATGGATGAACAGCTGTTTATTCAACACTTTTCAAAATTGTTATTGTGCTCCAAGTTTAGTAAGATATAATTGGCATCAACAGCTAGTATTTGCATTGAATTTAATGCCGACAACTGACAATATATATAGCTATCAATCAAGTTTCTACTTAGTCCGAATTATTCTGACGTTTATTTGATTTTTTTTTTTATTTCGGTCTGTCATTAATCGACGACAGACCGATATAAAAAAAAGTCGATAAAACTTCAGAATAATTCGGACTATATTTATTGAAATTACTGTAATTTCAGTATCAGCTAGTGATGAAATATATGCAATAAATTTAAAAGAGAAACAAAATAGAAATTAAAAATATATATAATCTACATTTTGTTTGCAAGAATTCACCAAAACCTTTGATAGGAGTTTTGGGGGATATGGTCAATACCCAAATTCTAGATAACTATGACCTACAAAGTACATGTACTTGATGAAAACAAAGTTAGAAATAGTGAAGTGATACAATGGCATTAATATTAAATGACCTAGAAATCTGGTTATCTTGCAAAAAGTCTTTACCCATTGATTGAATATATTTAAAAAAATAAATATTTGAGTGATTCTCACCAACATGGCCTTTGAACCAATCCTTGTTCATGTTGAGGGGAGGACTGATGTTCAAAATGTGAGGATTAGAACTCTTCAGGAGGTAAGGCATACACACATGTGAACTGAAATAAAGACATAATATTTTAAGACACTGTAAAAATTTTAATCACATTAAAGTAAAACATTGTCTCATTTTTAGCTCAGCTTATGCCGTGGTGCGGCGTCCGTTGTCTGTCTGGCGTCAACTTTTTACTTTCAACAACTTCTTCTAAAAACCAAGAGAAATCAAGGTGATATTTGGCCAGTAGTGGTCAAAAATAAAGATTACATATTTTTTCAACCTGATGTATACACCTGGTACCAATGTAATACAGACAATTCGTGGGCAGGGGAAAAAACAATTCCCCAAAAATGAAATTTACTTGCCCAAAATATCCTATATAAAGTAATACATGTACATATCATGGAATTAGCATTTACAATATTTAAGGTATTTTTTAACAGAAACAAAGCTATTTTTGCCGCTGTCAAACACTAAGCATTGAACTGCTTTTAGTTGGATTTGCCTTTGTCCACTTGGAATTCATATTGCCTATGAATGCCAACAAAAAGCAGTTCAATACTTGCATGTATATTTACCATTTTTTGGAATCTGTTCATCTCCTAAACTTATTTTACACTTATTTTTTTCAGCATTTAGTTAAAATAATGCATGTACCGTGTATGCTTGTTTAATGAATAGAACAGCCATCGCCAGTGGAGGGTAAGTGGTATCCAACGTAACAATCATCACATCATAATAATGATGACGTCAACAATCGGTATTATCGGTTCATGGCATTCATAGCCTATATGATCAATGCCAACTGAATTTGGAAGGGTTATATAGTGGCAATGCCATACGTAGTAAATATAGAGAGATAACACCCACCAGAGGTATGTGCCCCTGCCATTGATATTCATCATCAGGTCATATTTCTTCATGCCAGTTGCCTGTGTGCCAGTGAGGGAGATAGCACTGGCATTGTTGATAAGGATATCAATCCCTCCAAACTTGGCCACTGCTTCCTCTACTGCTTTCCGTACCTGCTCTTCTTGTCGGATATCTACCACACAGGGCAGACATTTTCCTCCTGCATCCTCAACTGCAATAACCAGAGAACAACATAATAACTCGACAAGAAGTACACAAACTTATACACAAAACTCATGTGTATGGGTTAGATTACTCCTGATCCTAGTCATGGATGGGCTTATTACCAGGCATGTTATTACTATTAACAAGCAAGTTCGTGGAATTTATACCCCCCGCTTTCAGGGCATATTGTAGATAAACATTATTGAGGTTAAGTTTAAACATGTGAGTATCGTTCTGTGGAGACATAATGTATAGCTTGAAACTTGAAGAACCCCCCCCCCCCCCCCCCCCCCCCCTTATCTAATATTTGCTAGAGTTATTAAGAGGAAACTGCATGCAGATAATGACTCTGCCGAATGGAGTCCGATTAAAGTGGTCATCAAGCTTGGCCGAGCCCATAAGGCATTTTACCCGGTGACCAAGTTTGAAGAAAATCGGTTAACATTTGTTGTAGTTATTGCACGGAAACGAAGCGTGACAAACAGACAGACAGACGGACAAACCCAAATCAATATCCCCCGTTTCGGTGAAAGCGGGCAATAATAAATGGAATGATTTAATGATCAGTGTGCAACTAGTTTTTATGTCTGTTTCTTCCCTGTTAAACATTTATTTTACTAATTAGTGCAAACATAAGTGTCATATATAGCATACCTTCCTTGGCTGCAGTGTAAATGGTGCCAGGTAGTTTGGGATGTGGCTCTGTCGTTTTTGCTGCTATGACAACATTAGCTCCATCCCTTGCGGCCTTCAGGGCTATGGCTTTACCTATACCACGACTTGCCCCTGTGATGAACAGAGTCTTCCCTGCTAAAACACTACAAAATAAATTTGAAAGGAGAATCTTAATTGTTTTTTGCATTTAACAGGTTTTCAACATCATCTGACTTGACAGGATAAACTGAAATTCCTAACCAATCCTCGAAATACTGAACCGATAAAAACTTTCTTTTGATTCTGTAGGTTCATCTTTGTACAGGTAAGAATAAGGCATACCCATGTCTGGAATGGCGTTCATCCATCTCTTTGTCTGACCCTGTTGTTCATTGTTATTTCAATGTGACAACCTTCTTAACTATTATCAGATTTCAACTATACTTGGTTGGCAAAATAATACTGGAAAATAAAGATTGATGAAGCACAGAATTTACTATGTTTATTTGTTATTCTGCTGTGCATTCTGCATAATAACCTTAGTCAATATTATTAGACTGAAATGAAGATACACAATATGGACCAACAAGATTGATTAAAATAAGTTGGAATAACTTGTTTCATAGTTGTTCTTATGGAAGTTTTATAAAGATCATTTACTCTTGTTTGATCTGAACTCAGAAGATGCATCATAATCCAATACATCCTTTCAAAGTCAGAAGATGTTCCCAACCTATTTCAATTGTTATAACTTATTGCCAAGTGAACTTTTACATCAATGTCAATTAGAACTCTAAGCCAAAGGCTAACTAATACACCTGCTCCTATATAAACCAAAACTGTAAGCTAAAGTCTTACTAAGGCAGAGCATTGCAAAGCAATCCATAGTCTCCCATCAGTAATGATTTCTTTATTGATTGAGCTGTACACTTATTTAAGTATACAAATCACTCACATACTTCCTGTACTCCCTCTCAATGCCTAAACATACTTGCAAATGAAATCTTGTTAGCCCTGATGAACAATTTTCCTGAAATGTGCCTAGTAGTAAAGGAAGAGATGTGTCCTAGTAGTAAAGAAGAGATGTCAGGACAAAGATTTTTAACAAAGGGATATTACTCCTTAAAAAAAGGTTAATATGAAAAAACACCATTAGGGGCTTATTACCATATCTGTAAACTTTCATTGAAATTGGCCCAGTAGTTTAGGAGGCAGAAAAAGTTTTTTTCAACAAAGGGCCATAACTCCTTTTAAAAGGGTCAAAATGAAAAAGCACGACTTGAAAGCACAACGTGTAGGGGCAGTTGCCATATCCGTAAACTTTCTTTAAAATTGGCCTAGTAGATTAGGAAAAACTGTCAGGACAAGGACTTTTAAAAAAAGGGCCATAACTCCATAAAAAGGGTTGCAAAAAAGTAGTTATCATATCTGATATATTTCGTTGAAATTGGGAGCATAGTGTTTGAGGAGTTGTATGGAGAGGTATTTTTCAACATAAAGTGTAAGGTGACAGTACCCAAATCGGACCACCAAACCTTCAGTTTTTTAAATCATTGAAAAATCTGGGGATGAATTATATTCATTTATAGTTGTATCAAAGAAAGAATATTGATGGGTGTTCTAACAAATTAGCACCTTGGGCTCACTTGAGATATTTATAGTCACCAATCAGCGTCTCCAGTTTTTGCTAATGTCGGGACCCAAAACGGATCAAGGCTTGAATTGTGCAGTATCGTACGCTTCAAATGAATATTTTTTTGTCAGCATATTAACATTTTATGATGACCTTTAGAATTTATATGGCAAAAAGTATTTCTAGTGTGAATTTATTCCTATAGTCCAAAAAAGATTGCACGCACCATTTTTTATAAACGTTATCAAAACATTGACATTTGAGTTTGAATTACGTTTTCTTGCGCTATTTGAACTTAAAAACTTAATTACCTGTAGACAAAAAATGGTGCATGGCTATCTATTCTAACACTACATCATTGTTATAACCAGAGACGTATAATACGTCTCTGTTATAACTGATTTGTTGACACATTTAAGTATTTTTTTGCAAAAAGTGATCCGATTTGGGTACCGATTCGGTTTGGGTACTGCCACCTTAATTACGTTACGGTCGGTTTAATCAGGTTCCACTCTTAGTTGCGTGTACTTCGATTTCAATGCCAATGACACTTACGACATAAATAAAAACGTTTCTCAATGTGCCCCTTTGGAAATTATGGGCCGTACGAAGTGTTATATAATTAATAGGATACTTCGACCCTAGGAACTTTGTATAATTTTCTCATGTATTCGTCCCTGTCCTGTGCAAAGACCAAAGTTTCTTTACAAATTCTTGTTCACAGTTGTTGTAAAAAGTTTCAAGAAATAATTTACGATGAAAGCATATCTAAAGCAGCATTCATTTCATCTTATTTCAGCATTAGCACCCGTTCCATGCTATACATACCCAGTGTTTGCAGCCATTTCTAGCGTCTGATGTTAAATTTATAAGCAATTTGACTTTACACAACAGAGCTCGAGGTCCCCAACGTACCGGCAAGTGTAGGAACGGACTTTGTATCTTTGTATACTTATTTTTAGCAAGACTTTTAAGTACGGAAAGAAATAAAAAAAAACATCGCTTCAATATTATTAAAAACATTTTTTTCATAAAATCATGTTGATGTATTTTCTTGCGTATCATTTTGTTTATATTTGAGAATTTTATTGTAAGAGAAATGAAAAGAAAAGTTTTGTAATCATAACAAAACGAAATGCTACACATTGGTAAATTATACTAACCAGTGTGTTTATCAAGGGGAGAGCACTCTAGTAGTTGTCTGCTAAAATGATTGTGTAGAATCTGACAGGTGAGTATTGCAAAAGAAGGGAAAGATCGCTCCTTGGTTGATCCGAGCTAGATTTGCAATATCTTTATTATAAAAGCACCTAGTATACGACGATAATCTTACTGAGATGTGAAAACGTTCTCTGAGGAGAGGACATATTGGTCAATAACATAACAACATTGCTATGCTTGATCTGTTGATGTTGTAATCTGAAATCCAACAAAGATATCGTCGCAACTGGTACAGTATTAGGCCTAGTTTACACGTTGTTGTTGTTGCAGCGATTAAATAAATAATAATGATAATAAAACAGACATTATTGTTCAAGAAAGAAGATGTAATAATGGGTGTAACGGGGAAAGTTGTAACTTACTAACTCCATATAAATATTTGGAAGATACAAAGCTCTTACAGTTTTTCCTAAATATCTTAATGAAAAAAAACATGTTTCATCCTTTTTCCAACTTCACACGTTTTTTCTCTCTAAAAATGAACAATTCTTAAGAAGAAGCCCCATTTCATAATGACCTGACCTTTGACTATAATTCTGCCAAAAAAAAGAAAGACAAAAAATAGTGACTGACTATCGGTTAGAACCCACAGAAGCATTACAAGGTCGGGGAAAACCACTAACTTGCGTATAATACGTAAATTCGCCTATAATACGCCAATAGGGGTATGGATTTGTTACTAAAAATAGCCAAAATCACTTGAATCATAACTATTTCAAATTGTTTGTCCATGTCGCATTTATTCAGTCACGAAACATAATACAAATGCAAAAATAAACTTTATTTACATGTCGGAAAGTACCAAAAATAGATGCAATACTTCCGGTAAAGTTACATCAAGTTTCTAAGTAGCCAACGCTTTCAGTAAACCTTTTTTAGCAAAATATTATTTACCTTGTCGTAAATTAATGCGATTTTTATTAACGTCTTGCAAAAGTTACTGTTAAAGCGATTTGGGTTATTTTTAGTAACAAATCCATACTCCAACTGGCGTATAAAAGGCGAGTTTGCGTATTGCGCAAGTTGCGGTTTTCCCCAACCTGATTACCGGTATCATATGTGGACATCCCTCCTTGCACCATGTCCATACAGGCTGTCAATACATATATGTGTATCACTTTATCTGGACATACTGGAGTACCAGTTTTGGGGTGGTGAAATGTAAAAATCTGAAATCAGGTCTTGTGCTCAGCTATATACAGAGTTATGGCCCTTTGTTCACTACAGGTCTCATACTGTGGCACATCTCATATACTCTGCCATATACGATTTCCAGATTTGAGTATATGAGTACCTCTAGAAATACTGAATTCAGAGTCTCAACAGCTATTGCCCTTTTTCCTTTTTGTATACGCTTGTCGGAATGTAACAGATGTATTATGTTATCATGTGAGCAGGTAGGTTGTGGGAGGGGGGCGTGCAGGGTGTCCTGTTGATATCTCAAGAAATTAACGACAGATTCACTTCATAGGAAGGTTAATTATTACCATGAACTGATGATGAGAGCTCAGACAAGTTAGATAATGATCTGTAACTGGAATTTTGCTCCTATAATTAATTGCTGAAACAGTGTCCACTCTATATCTCAAATACTTTTCAAAGGATTAACTTAAAACTTCATGGGAAGGTTAATTACAATAAAAGCTCTGATGAATTTGGCAGCCACCATTATCCGACAGTAATTTAGGGAGTTATGCCCCTTTATTCAATTACTGAAACAGTCTGTTCTATATATACCACGAGTAATATTCAGCAGATCAACTTTTAACTTAATGGGAAGGTTAATTACCATGAAGCTCAAGACAAGTTGGATAACCATCATTATCCGACTGTTATTTACTGAGTTATGCCTCCTGAATCAGTGGAGTGAGTGGTATCACAATTATAAAGACTTAATTATTCCCCTTTGTTTCATTAATGCAATACTACATGCATTTTTCAAATATTTCATATATTTTAACGTTACAAACAACTCCTAGTTCAACGTGTGACAGCACATTTTGGAGTGCTTTGCGGTAACCTTGTTTGATAATGGAGTTTGAGAAGGTGGTAGACTATAGCTTGCTCATAATGCTTCGCATTGTTTATTAGAATTTGACAAGAGAGTGACATAAGTGAAGTCACTTCAAGATGGTTTGATTGGTAACTAATTTATTATAGCAAGATAACTAAATTTCAGTTAAAGCTTTCTCAAATGAAAGTCATTTTGTAGTCTCTATATTTAATTGATAACTCTGAATTCAATTAAATGTTTATAAACAACTTATCTACCCTAATTTTTTCTTCATTATTTTCATGTGATCGTTTGTTGTGGATGAATGTATCGACCAGCAAAACTGTATTATGAAAATGTTTAATAATTCTATATCCTTGATGTCCAGAGTGTTTTCTGTAGGCAAGTGATCAAAACTTCTTCAGACAGCTACTGTATGGTATTTTCTTCAGTCCAGGCCTATGTATAAGTTTGGGTTTCTCTTTACTGATTGATGACATACATTTATGTAAGCTAATGGAAAAAGGGAACAGCTGACAGAAGCTGCATGGCTGATTATTGGTACTTTCGAAGGAAAAACCCATAACTTTATGACAGATTTTGGATATGGTTGGGAGGGATGGCTGACAGTTTTCTTTAAATTGATGAGGATATATTCTTATAACAAATGGACAGCTGTCTCTTCCCTTGTAGTGTTGAAAAAGATAACTGATGATTCTTGGGAATGATATGATCCTAGAAATTGTAATTTGATACACCTATATGATAAATAGTTTAATTTCATCTTTTCCCAGATCTAAATCATCCACCACTCATTAAATGGCGACAAGTTTACTGCGTAACAAGATGAGAACGTTTGTGGTTGGAGTAGGGGTGACCAAGTTTGAGAAGCCAATGACAAAAGCATGGGACTACCCAGATATGGGCAAGGAAGCAGGTAATCATCATTCACAATGTTCACAGAAACTTATATACAATTATATCTAGCCGTTTGTGTGTCACAATAGCTGTCTTTCTTCTGTATCATACTAATACCTTACCTGTGCAGTCCACTGTATACAAATTTTCTTGTCCGTCATTTCAGTAGCATAAATGTTGCACTAAAGGCAACTTCCAAGTATGACAATCTGTGCACCATAATATAATGCTACACAGTGTCGAGGGATGTACAATTTTGTTAGTCAAATGCCCGGGCTAGTAAATTTTATGTTTGGGCAAGGGAAAACTTTCATTATTTACTATGGAAAAATAGATCAATCTAGTAGAATTTTGCATAATCTGCTTGTGGGCTTGTAGTTGCATGTATAATTATATAAAAGATGGAACTAAAGGAAATAATTGCTCTGAAAGTTAGGTTGATAGAAGAGGCAAATATACATTTTTGTCATATATATTGCAGTTTACTACATGCAAAACAAGTTAATAGAGAACATAAAAAATGTATTGGAAATGTATTTGTTATTTTACTTTCTGAGGTGAGGCAGCCTTGAAGGATGCAGGACTGCCATACAGTAATGTGAAGGCTGTGGTGGCCAGCTACTGTTACGGAGAGCCAACCAGTGGTCAGAGAGCTGTTTACAACCTAGGACTCAGTGGCGTCCCCATATTCAATGTCAACAACAATTGTTCCTCTGGATCCAGTGCCCTAATGTTGGCCAGACGTTTAGTCCAGAGCTGAGTGGAGGACTGTGTCATGGCTCTTGGTACTTTTCTAATCTTACTATTTATATATAAATTATTATTCTGTGTCATTAAATAACTCACATCTTAAGAAATGGTGATAAATTTTGTGACAGAACAATTACTTTAAACAGTTGTGAAGTTGTGACAGAACAGTCTTTAAGTTTATTGACTGAATGAATTATCCTTCGATAACTTGATAACTATTTGCATTAAGGCACTACAGGCATATTTTTATAGAAATAGATGTTCATAAAATATTGATTTATTTGAATTTTACTGAAATATCTTCTAAAAAAATCTCCCTTTTAAATAATGAAAATGTATTTGATGCTGACTGTGAACAAATGGAAATACAGCCAAAACTTTCAGAGTGCAGGTTGTCTCTTATACAGGTTCAATTCACAATGAATTTGAATGAAATCAACTCAATAGGGAACATAAATTGCAGTAGTCTGTTAACACAGGTGATCTTTTCATAGATGTTTTTGCGCAAGCATGTTTGATTATAGACCCTCCTTCATAAATCTTTTTAAATTTTATTTGTATGCAGGTTTTGAAAAGATGGAGAGAGGTCTCTCTGAAAAGTACACAGACCGAACATCACCGGTCAAGCGTCATATGGACCACATGGTGGACATTGGAGCTGAGCCAGGTCTCATCCAGCCACGCCTCAATCAGATGACATCAGACGTTGTCAAATTATATGCATATGCAGCTCGTGAATACCTGAAGAAATACCCATATGCAACTCTAGACGACATGGTGGAAATCTCCTATAAGAACCATAAACAGAGTGTGAACAACCCCAAAGCAGCATTACAGAGGATTGTTTCACGCGAGGACATTAAAACAAAAATTCCTCTTTGCGACCCAATCACATTTTGGATGTCTGCTCCAACTGCTGATGGTGGTGCGGCGGCCATTGTGTGTAATGAGGATTTTGTGGTGGCCAATAACCTCCAGCACCATGCTGTGGAGATTATAGCACAACACATGGTCACTGACATGGAGTCCTCCTTTGGACGAAGTTTCCAAGATCTGTCTGGTTACGGTATGGCCAAGGAGGCAGCTAAGCGCTGTTACCAGGATTCTGGATTCACTGCTGATGATGTTGATGTGCTAGAGGTTCATGATTGCTTCTCGTGTAATGAGCTCTTCATGTATGAAGCTCTCCAGCTGGCACAAGAAGGGAAAGGTGTAGATCTGATTCGCAACGGAAAATGGATTAAAAACAAAAATGGGGGAGACATTTGCAAGCTTGGTGGAAAATGGGTCGTGAACCCTTCAGGAGGACTGGAGTCCAAAGGTCATCCCATTGGGGCAACAGGTATAACAACATTTGTGTCATCTTCTTAAATATTGCCTTGATATTCTAAAAAGTGGATATCTTAATGTTTTTTTTCTATGTCTGTTAAGGCTAAAATGTTGGAAATAATCAGGGAATTCCAGATATTATGTGAAACTATACATGTATCTACCTGTTCTAATTAACTATTATACAAAAAAGGTCCTTACTAGGAGTTTGTGTTATAACTAAAAGTGTCATTGCAAAATTTTATATGGGTGATGAGTTGAAAAGGGCTGTTAACTTTTGTTTAAAGGGCCATTGGAAAAGTAATAACTGGGGGTAGTGGAGATCGCAATATCCTTAAATTATTTATTTCTTGGACAGCCAAAGCAAGAATTTTTAATGATGTTATTTGCAGTTTAACAAATATTATTGTACATGCATGTAGTTTAGAACAATATGAAGCCACAGGCAATGTTGCTTTTATTTCATTACAGGTCTGGCGCAGTGTGCAGAGCTGGTGTCACAGTTGCGAGGGACTGCTAAACTTAAACAAGTTGATGGGGCTAAAATTGCTCTCCAGCACAACTTTGGCATAGGGGGTGCTGCTGTTGTTACCATGTACAGACGACCAGAAATACTTCAGAAACAGTCAAAATTGTGATCCAAAATTAAATGACATTTATGATTGATAATTGTGATTAACTAATTACACAGATAATGATGTTTTGATTATGAATGATGACCTCAGGAAAATTATACTGTCCATTGATTTTAAGTTAAAACAAATGCAAAACTGAAAGTAAAATACCACCACTTTACTTGAAAAACTGGAAGGGGGTGAATGAAACGTTGGGGGTTGAAGGTTAAAAAATATTCTGACAGGAAATCTCATTTTATTTCCTTAATAGTCTAGGCCTTATATCAAACAAAAAGGACTTGAAACACAACAACGTACATTTGTATCTAGTGACTAACATGACTGAATATAAAACAAATACGTTTGTATCTAGCGACAGAAAATAAAAAAGTGTACAGTGACTTAGAATGATTGATGGGTTTTACGTCCGCTTCACTACCAAGTAGTTCCGTTATCCAGTGACTTAAAAACATCACACTTGAATTTATATTGACCTCTGGTTGAAGTGGCTACATAACAAGTGGGTGTGACAATACTTTAATAGTGAGTACTTATGTTAATGTTTCAACCTAATTTTATATATGATTCGCAATTAATTTACATATTTTTGCCGATAGGCCATATACAATGAATATATTGATGTTGAGCTAGCTTGGTACAAACCTTATAAACTTATATGTATATACAATAGTTTTTTCAAGGCCAAAGAGCCTTAGAGGTCAAAATTTGTATACAGTATTCTTGAAGTGTGCTATAGTTTATATGCAGTACATGCTTGATTTTTATGATTAGATTAACGAATTGTTCGTGTGACTAATTCCTTATATATTGGGGTTTGACACGGTGTAATGTAATCAGACATTGAAGAACGTTGTATTCGTCCTATGCACATTCAACAAAATAAAAATGTAATGTGTGATGCGTGCAAAACACTAATTTGGATTACATTGCAGACTAGAGTGAGTGATGTCATATCATCACATTTTTCAAGTTTTTGTAATATAGATGGGGTGCTGGGACATCATTGAAGACAACCTTTTTTTCTCCTCCGTGTTGGCGTTTTTTTATGCATATAATCAGGATTTTGGTGGTACAATATAAATGGTTGTAATGTAATATCGGAGAACAAGGGCCCAATACTGGCCTGGTCCCTTTGTATTTTCCCTCTCAGAACACTGATGTTCAATTCCTTTTTTCCTTCTTTATTTTTTTTCATAAAAGTTCTGTAAGGTGTGGATTTCTCTTCAGAAATGAGCTATTAAAACTATTGTCATGTAGTTAAATATTCCTAATACAGAGTTCAGGGGTCCTTAAAAACAAAATGATCACTGTAGTTAGTGTCATAACAGAGTACAATATCTGTTTTATTTTAACAGAATTGATTTGGACATCTTTGGAAGTAACTGTGATCTTAAATGGTCTATATAAGGTGCCATGTGTATTGGATATTGATCTAACAGTGAAGAGTGACTTAAGAAATTTGATGTTGATTGTCCTTTTTACCATTATTTTATAATTGATCATGGTGATATAAATCAATAAACTGTAATCACTTTATAATAAAGTGTTTCTTTTGTTTATTAGCTTTGAGAGTAATAATGATGAACAGAGAAAAGATTCTGAAAAAATCTGAAAGAGCTGTGTATTTAACAGGGAGGCTACCATCTTTTTATTGTATAAAACATCTGTATTTTGTAGATGCTGTACGCATTATTAATTTAACAAACTGAAACTCATTCAGTCTGCACTGTATAGTGCAAACATGTCCAAAACCATTTTATAGAGCTCTAATGAAAAGAAGGAATTTAAACAAGATGCCCAATGGGCCTGCATCGCTCACCTGGTATGAATCTCACACTTGTAATCTTAAAAGTGGACTAAAATACAGCTACAGGCAGAATATCAGTGTTTTGATTCATAAGAACCTATTAAAAGATTTTAAACATATGACGCCTGTGACCTTGAATGTCGAACAAGGAGATTAGGTTGAAAGTGTGTCGAGGTCATTCATGTAAGATTTTACGACATTTGACCCATGTGACATTGAAAGTGGCTCAAGGTCATTCATTTGAACAAACTTGGTAGCCCTTCATCCCAGGATGCTACTGACCAAATATCATCACCCTGAGCATTTTGGATATTCAGAAGAAGATGTTTAAAGATTTTAACATTTTTGACCCCTGTGACCTTGAATATCGGTGAAGGTCATTTATTTGAACAAACTTGGTAGCCCTTCGTACCAGCATGCTACAGGCCCAATATCAGTACCCTGGGCCTTTTGGTTATTGAGAAGAAGTTGTTTGAATATTTTAAGACATCTGACCCCAGTGACCTTGAAAGTAGGTCAAGATCATTCTTTCGAACAAACTTGGTAGCCCTTCATCCCAGGATGCTACTGACCAAATATCATCACCCTGAGCATTTTGGTTATTCAGAAGAAGATGTTTAAAGTTTTTAACATTTTTGACCCCTGTGACCTTGAATATCGGTGAAGGTCATTTATTTGAACAAACTTGGTAGCCCTTCATCCCAGCATGATTCTGGCCAAATATCACCGTATTGGTCCTTTTAGGTGAGATAAAAACCCCACCAATGGCCCCAAATTAACTAGGACTGTCGCCTATGGGCTAAAAAATAACCCCTTCCCCTTGTTCCGGCTGCTTGTTGGCCCTGTAGGGCTAAAAGATCAAGGGTCATGAAAAAGTCTAACCTCAGATGTTGTACCTAAACAGCGATTGAAAAGACAAATATCGCTACTGTGACCTTTGACCCCATGACCTCAGAATTTTTCCGTCTGTGGTTGAAAATTTGGGCGATTATGCATGTCATGCTTGTTGATAAAAATGCATAGGGATTGTCTCCCTTTGCCCGTTTTTTTTTCATATTGTGTAAACTATAGGAGGAACATTCTTCACATGATTCTCAACACACACCGAATCTTAAAAGATTCAGTTGAAAATTGTTGGACTAGTTGTGATCATGAGCTGGGTTATGGAAAGAGACAGACAGCATTACAACATAATAGGCTCCACATTTGGTGGGTGTGTAAATACAAGAGGTCCAATGGGCCTGTACGTATCTGTAACCTTAAAGTGGACTAAAATAAAGCTACAGACAGAATTTCAGTGTCTTGACTCAAAGTCATTCAAAAGAACCTGCTAAAAGATTTAAACACATTTAACCCCTAGCTGTGTCCTTGAAAGTCAAACAAGGACAAAGTTTAAAGCCTTTCATCGAAGAATGCAACTTGCCCGAAATATCACTATCGTAGACTTTTCGTTTATTGAGAGGAGGATTTTTAAATAGTTTATACATAATTGACATGTAACCTTGTAGTGTGTCAAGGTCATTCACATGAACAAACTCTTTATCTGATCATGCTACTGGTAACATATCACCAACGTTTGCATTTGGTTATTCAGAAAAAGTCTTTTAAAGTTTTTAACATATTTGACCCCTGTGACCTTGAATATATATCAAGGTCATTCATTTGAACAAAATTTGAAAATTGAACCCCTTCATCCCAGCAGGTTACTGGCAAAAAATCATCACCCTAGGCCTTTTGATTATTCAGAAGAAGTTGTTGGATTTTTTTCTTTCTTCAGAAAATCAACTCCAATAAGCTTGAATGCAAGTCAAGGTCATTCATTTGAACAAACTTGGTAACCCTTCATCCCAGCATACTACTGGCCAAATATCATCCCCCTAGGCCTCTTGCTTCTTCAGAAGAAGTTGTAGTAAAAAGTTGATGTCAGGCGAGGGTCATTGCATACTGGTATAACCTCAATGGGCCAGGTGAGCTAAAAGAACAAAACTTGATGAAACTTTAATACCATTTTAATAAATTATCAAATTGCAGGAAACTGGTTTAGTATTGAAAGTCTATTCATTTCTTTTCTTCTTTGTTGGGTTTAGTGTCCAATAATAGACTACACATCAGTGTTGTCCACAGGGATAGGATGGCTACAAATGTCAAAGTAAATCTGAGGCCTTTGAACCAAGGGGGATAACCATAGGAAACCATGTCCATATAGCATGCTCCTGCAAAGCCTAGCATAAGAGTCAACGATGAAAGGGGACTTGGCATAAGAACTCCAGCCCAGGCGACCAAGGAAGGGGTGACACTGTAACACAGATTGAACCAGTTGGGCTGCAGGATGCTGTCCTCAGGAATTGTCATCCCCCATCGGATACCTCCTAAGAAGGACAAGATGGTGGCACCATAAACCAGCTGGGCAAAAGCTATGTCAGGCATGAACAATTGATTCATAACAAGGTATGTGGGGGCGGCCACAAAGGGAATGAGGCCAGAGAATCCCAACACAAGTGCAGGAACAGGAGAGGCTTTCAGTTCCTTGAGACTTCCCAGCACAGTCAAGGCGGTTGTTTTTCTGTCCTCATGGAAAAGTCTCTTCTGATATGTATTTGTTACTTGTGCTTCAAATCTTTGCAATATGAAACTTGTAGGTAATATTTTTGCACACACTGACTTTGTTATATAATGGCCATTGTAGCTGGACAAATTCTTCACTAATACAGTTTGTTTACTATCAGTAGTCACATTATTTGAACTACGTCTTTTCTGTAAGTCTGATAACACATGTACAGATGTACTACTGACACCTCCATATCCATTAACAGAGATCGTGTATGCCGATCCATGACCAGGTAATTTAGTCCATACTTTCTTTACACAGGAAAAACTTGCATTGAAACTTTTGATCATTGTATGCCAAGAAGGGAAAATGAGACTGGTGTGCAAGAGATGACCTGAAATAAGAAAAAAGTATAAAACATTTTAAGTCTTATTCTGACAATAGACATATCTTAAAAATAATTAACTTTGTTCTGCATAATAAAATATATATTTGAATTTCAAATACAACATATTGAAAACATATCAAGAGAATGATATTGTGAAAAGGGGTTTCTACTCTGTCCATTTGGAACTAGTGTAAGTCTAGGACGAGCTTTATATAGAGCCGACAAAATGTACAGACGGCTGGCGGATCAATGACCTTGTGATAGATGCGTTGACGGTTGTGTTGTCATTGCATTGCAAATATATATGACAGATGTGCTTTTGCCCCAAAACTGTGACTTCACAACATTCGCTTTGTAAAAGGTCTTACCGGTTAGCCACTGTCAAGCCGCTGAAGTAATAACAAATAAAAACAAGTCAATTATTAATATGTTTTATTGCTAACACAAAAACATGTAAATTTAGAACTAGAAAGAAATCATTTGTACAAAAATATACGATATCGTTATCAAATTGAGCTGACTGTCCTGGCATATTAATGTTATGTTTGTTTTTTCAATAGCATATGCGACATCCTGTGATCACAAACATGGCGGCTGTTTCAAAACTCGTGGAGTTTTGCAGAAATGAAATTACAAAATTCCTACATGTATAATAGACTTTCATTTCAAAGTGAAGAACGAACGGAAGTTCTGCGATTATGGTATACAATGACATAATCCACAAGTCTGAAGTCTGAAAATAGTACTAAATTATCCATATCTGCTGTATAAACTAAAGATATAAACTTCCTCGGACATCTAGATCTGTACTATCTATCTATCTCTATCTGTAAATACTTCAACGCCTTCTTTCGATTATTCTGTGTACATGTTGAATAAGAAAATTTTGGTCAGAGGTATTATCAATAATTCTGGCAACCATAATCCTATGATTAGAAGCCGTCAAACCACAGGGTCACGTTACAATCACACATATGCTAGCCTATTCCGTCTTTGCGTATTGCAGAGTTATCTTCTCTTGAGAGCAGGTATTGATTGTCACGTCAGTAACGTCATTAATTTTTGAGAAAACGACGTAAAGAAGATAACTGCAATACCCAAAGACGGAATGCTGATATGGGTCACAACACACACAAACATACATGTTTATGTGTGTTGTGACCCATATCAGTATATAGCATATGTGTGATTGTAACGTGACCCTGTGGTCAAACGGTACATTCAGTTAGCTGCGATAACGTAGCTTTCTGATGCTGATATATTGTTTTTTATATTGCGGCCGGCGTAGAAGAGGCCAGGTATTAATATTGGTACTACATTTCAGTACTTAAATTAGTAGTCCGAATTATTCTGACGTTTTATCGACTTTTTTCATATCGGTCTGTCGTCGTTTATGACGTTAATCGACGACAGACCGATATGAAAAAAGTCGATAAAACGTCAGAATACTTCGGACTATTAAATTAGATGTCGCATAACTATGACTTTTCGTATTTTAATAATTAAAATTAATTATTTTCTTTGGCTACATCAAACCACAGACTTTATAGCAATTTCTAAATCTAATACTGTGATCAAAAGTTTGAAATGTCAGCTTTTTCTTGTATACACATATATAGATTTATATTTAGATGTGAGGTTAGAAAATGCATAAAATTGTCACATGTTATACTTCAAGCAATTTTCTATTTCAGAATAAATTTGAAATGAAAAGTGATGGTGGAAACAGTTTTGCTGATAATGAAGACAGTAATGATTCTGTCATTGACCTCGCTTCATCACCAGAATTGTCGACCCAAAAACCTGACAAGAAAAGAAAACGCGATAAATCAATTCTACAGTCCATTAATTGCAAGGTTATTATATATTGCTGTATACTGGGACTATAGCAAGTGTTACCATGAATAATATAAGGACAATCTATCCCTGATGGCAACTTTTTCACATTTTACTCACACTCATATAAATTTATATAAGTATGTTAATTCAAAATATGTTTTTTTTTTAAGGTAGATCAGCAATAAATTAGCAATTATTTAACAATAGCAATGGTGAACAATGCTTAAACAAAATGAAAGTGTGAGACCATGGTGTATACTTTCATACCGATATTTACAGTACTAGCTAGCCTGCAGGCAGATATTGAAAAAATTAACAATCCCACCAATATTTTCATATGTAGTTAATAAGGAAAATGTTTTCTAGCATCTGACATAAAATCTCCTAGCCTTAGCTGTCAAGCTAGGAGAACTATATACCACAGTCATATAATATATTTTAACTTTATACACAAACAGTGTATCAAGCTATGACTTATTGAGTACTTTGCCTTGTTTGCCAGGTTTCATCATGTGACAAAAGGGCACCCAATAAAATGCTTGCCCACACATGACAAATCACTTTATACCAATAAATTATTATTTTAAAACCTCAAATAGTGCTACAAGGTTATAGTTGGTATACATAGCCTCAGTATACGTGCAATCAGTCTGTGAGACTCTTTTTTCTTTTCATCAATGTCATTGATATTTTACCTGTAATAACTCCAAAATATGTACCTACCCCATGTAAAATTAATTTCATGAAATTAATTTTCTATACTTTGTTGCAAGGACATCAGTGTTCCACTCAACATGCATGTCATAGGGATAAATAATTAGTTCATGCTCTAGACAAATTTAAGTGAAACAAATTGTCAGAAAAATGTATGTAATTATTAATCAACAGTAGTAAAGGAAAAGCGTGTCACTAGAATTTACATATCTTATTTGCACAGCTGCAGTAATTACTGATATCTTTATAGATATTGTATTATTTCATAAACCTGTTCATTTTTGTATTTTATTTTTACAAATTACTTTTTTTAACAGAATTCTGCAAAGTGGGTAACATCATCTTTTGGTGATTTTGATGCATTTGATTGCTTTGCTGCTTCCTCTCGCCCAGCCAAGTCTGCACCGAAGCGAGCAAACACCACTAGTTCTAGTCAGTCTATCCTGAAAGTGTCTAAGTCAGCCACAACCAGCATTAGCAACACAGCTGACCAATCAAAAGCCAGTAAAACTACACCCCAGATAAACAGTGAACAAGTCTCATCATCAGGTGACCGGTGTTGGTTGTCGGGGAAGAAAAGACCAGCTTACGAGTCGGAGTTGTGGTCTGACAAATATGCTCCTAATAATCAGGTTAATTTAAACAGTGAAAGTGTATTTGTCATTCTTTGTGGCATATTCCTAGGGTAGCAGTGTACAGTAGCGTACGGTGGCCATGGGTGATATTTTTGTACAATGAATAACCCCTGTAATACGACATGTATCAAATTTAGAAAGAAAAAAAGCAGCACTAAAATTGGCATATATATGATGAAGTGGACTATGTGGGCTTCATATAATTTAAAAAAGATAAAAAAAAATCGAATTTGGTTTGAGACTACAGTTTTGGCCATTTACAAATCTGTTTCTACACAACAAAAGCTAGCTTTTCATGTAGTCTATTTTTGTACTTAGCACATGTGAACATATTGTGAAAAATCCAGTTGAATGACCTTTGCTAAAACGTCAGTATTTCTGTTATCAAGTAGGTGATATTTAATTTAAGACAGGCTTTAAGAAAAAAATTACTGCTAGAGAGGGTAAAATTTTGGGTTAAAAATCATGTTTTTTGTGTGTTTTTTTGATGTGGTAATCATGGTTTTTACAAGTCCCAAATCTGGGGAAAACACTTTTTCAAAAAACCCACCTTTTTCCTCTGAAAAAATGTATCCAAAATGTAGTTTATAAATATGAATATATATGTAGGTGTGTTGTGCAGGATGAACCCACTATCCATGTTTATCTGAGACATGCCCTTCATTTTTAGGATCAGGCCATTTCTACTGTACTCTGCTACCTAGATAATCCAGTATACTGTTTGAGAAAGAGAAAAAGGAAGAAGTAATCTCCCTTGAATTTACTTTTACATCTTTAATTTGGGATGACAAGATACTGTTTAAATATGAAAAGAAACTATCTACGGAAATGATATTCACTAAAGACTTTAAGTTGCATATGAGTTTTCTTGCTTATAAAAACAAAAATTCATCTTCTATGAAAGAGTAATTTACAATGTTAAATGTAATTTGACCATGAAGGTGTAATAGATATTTGTATTTATTTCAGGGTGACCTGGCTGTACACAAAAAGAAAATAAGTGACTTAGAAACATGGTTTCAAACACATCTCAAGGCACAGGCAAAGGTTTGTTTACAGGTTACATGTATTAAAATTAAGTCGAGTTTCTTTACTAATCTACTGTATTTATCTGACAGTAAAGCTTGTTCACAAGCCCACCCATAATAAAACAATAAATGCTTTTTCATCGTCCTGTAACTAGCCCACTCCCCTTCTTTGGGTTGGAGATAATGTGTTTGGCCCCTGGACTTATTGGAGGATAAGTATGGTATAACAATGTATACCAGTACTAGAATGTGCTTGATATTGTACGAAAAGTAATTCATTCTTTTACTGTGTCAGAACATCATTCATCACAGATACCATTTGTTATAAAAGATCCTACATGCAATGTTTCCACAAATCAATATTGATGTTTATTGAAAGACGGCAACTTATATGGATCGTGACCCTGATGTGAATCGTTTAAAAGTTTATATGGGGTCAAATTCAATAACTAATGTGTACATGTGGAATATCTGACTGTGGTTAATTATTAACATAGTAATAATACAAAATACATTCTGTTTGTACTATTTGCCATTCACTCCTTATTACCTGTTAAAAGGTTAGACTTGGGAGTATTCAGTTTTACATGTCAAATGTATATGTTCTTTTTGGCTCCTTTGTTTAGCTGCCGCCTATTTTGATTCTTACTGGTCAGGCAGGGACAGGGAAGTCAGCAACGGTCAAAGTATTGTCCCGAGAACTCAAATGTGACGTCCAAGAATGGTCAAACCCTGTTGGATCAGACAGAGTTTGGAAGAAAAGGGATGAGTTTAGCACAGGTATAGTCTGACAGAAGGAGTTGATTTTAGAGGGAAAGGTTCAAAGTTGTCAGTGACATATTTGTCACAGGAGTTTTAAAGGGAGGAATCAGGTGTATTAGTTTTGCATGAGTATTGTTAGTGAGACCAGGTTAAGCTCTGGTCCCTCTGAAAATTTCTTTGCTAATGTGATTCACATTCCTTAAACTGCATTCGTTATAACATTAAAATTCTTATACATATATAATAAATAAAAGTTGATTTCATAAAACCATCATCGCTTACATTTCATACAATTATGTACACTTATCAAAACTCAGAAGACATCATTTTCATTTAAATGCATTAGTGGATTTATATTTTTGGGAGTACATAATGTATAAGTTTTAGGTGCTACATTTTGATTTTGCAAGTCATAAATAAAGTTATTCAATTCAACTCTGAACAAACTAATTTCTATGTGTTTTGAAATATGCTGTGATTTTTTTTTTATTTTTTTTATAGAATATTTCTTGAATAAATGGCTATTGATTCTTATAGATGAGAGTTTTTTTTAAAGCTGATATTGTTTTTGTGTGAGTACCAGGTATTGTATAAGGTGATTGGTTTGTAGGCCCGTACCAGTATGATGACATTCAGACAGAATCACAGCTGGTCCAGTTCCAGCACTTTCTCCTCCGTGCCAACAAGTACAACAAACTTGACATATTTGGGGATGGAAACACAGAGAAGAAAATAATTTTAGTTGAGGTACACATGATTCAGTCCTCAGTTAAGTGGTGGTACATATGATAAGATTAACATAGTCCTTGACTTTTCCATTTTAAACAATGATGACTTCTCAATGTTTTTTGTTCACACAGAATTCTGAACCAACGAAAAAGGTAAAAGTTTAGGCTACAGGCATACAGATACTGTTATTGTCTTTCTCACCAAATCAAAGACTATTGTGGTCATCTATAATACGGAAATTAAAAAACCAGCCTATAACTATAACGTGGATTCCCTACATATCACTCCCACAGAGTATCGACAAAGTCATCCTTAGTCAAGTTATATCCTTTATTGTCTCTGACAATCAGAGACTGTGGTGGCCATCTTGAACCCCAAGACAAAAATTTAATGTTGTCCATTTGATATAAATTATATCCCCAATGTATTACTCCGACAAATATCGACGAAGTCAGTCAGTCCTTTAGAACTCTAGTTATAACTGATATTATCTCAGTCCACCAGAGGCCATGGCAACAATCTTGAAAGAGAAGTTAATAATTAGCCATATAAAGTTTATCAGACAGATACACAGAAACACAGAGGGACAAGTTGATTCTAATATACCTTCCCTAATTTGTTGCCGGTGAGTAATTATGAAAATTAAAACCATCAACATCGTTGTTACCAAACACATTATCCCAGCCAGCTATACTCCAGCGATTGCCTGTTGCCCTTCCATCTATTTTCCTTAATGTTAACTTCAACATTTGATAGATTTGTGACTAATGGTTCACTTGCTAGATTCATATTTAGCTGTGATCAAGGCTAAGGCTGACATTGTCACTGTATATGTACGACTCCATTACTAAAGGAATTTTATCAAACCTCATACTATAGAGATAAAAAACACATGAATATTCTATCAAAGTGATCAAGTATGATGAATGAGCTTCCATTTCAAGGTTCGAGGTTCAATGTAGCCATTACTATTTATGCAGAATTATCAAACATTTACATGATCACAGACATTCATTTCTTACAGGCATTTGGTAGGAGTTTTCCCAATGTCTGTAGTATGGTCCAGTGTCATTGATTCTTTATCTTTGACGTTTTTGTTGTAGGAATTTCCCAATGTGTTTTATAGAGATGCTTCAGCCTTCCATGAAACCCTCAGGTAAATTGAAATGTTTATGTTTACAATAGATGTAAGATCTCGTATTAAAACAAGTGTTATTGTAATAGTAGGATCGGTTCCTGTAAACTCTACTTGTTCTTTATCCTTTGTGCATTTATTAAAATTTATAAAATAATTTGATGAAATATTGCAAATAATAATTATTGCAACTGCATTTATCTAGCAATAAGCCCTAAGTTTCTGACACAAAATAGGGGTTGGCTTATTACAGGTCAATGTAAAAGTGTCTGTTGGCATTTCTGCTGAACTGCAATAGATATGCTTGTGCCTATTATGACAAGGGCTTATTGCTGGATAAATATGGTATACAATATATCTGTGAAATCTTTGAACTGAACTGAATTTGCATGCAATTCTCCTCAAGATTTACTGCAAAACAATCTATAAAAGATCACTGCATTTCAGCTGGAATTCATTTATATTGTAGGAAGTATGCCCATGTTGGGAAGTGTCCGTTAGTGTTCATTGTGAGTGACTCCACCAGTAGGGACTCGGCCAGTTGTGAACGTCTACTGTTTCCCAAGACACTACAGCAGGACCTGCGCATAGATAATATCAGGTAGACATTGGAAACCGAACCCTATAAATCTACTGGGGTATATATATGAGCTACAGAAAACAATATTCACCACACTGACATAATGATATGCTGAAATTAATTTTTAGAAGATAACATCTTTCACTTTCATGAAAATTTAAATTTTGGAAAATAGGAGTTTGCATATAAGTTTTAAAAAGGATTTGTTTAACCTTTATTCAGTTTCAACCCGATTGCTTTGACAAGCTTGACCAAAGTGCTGACAAGGATTGCCACCAAAGAGGCCTCACAGGTAACTTGTGCCATATTTGTTATATTGAGTGTGTCATTGAAGACGGATTTTAAAATTTCAAAACTTCAAGTATCAGTTGCACTGTAAACTCAGCGGCTTTACATCACCAATAAGACCTGTGTATACTGACATCATGTCTAACTTGACTGATATGTTGTGTCACACAGGGTGTCATATTGGGAAGGTTTTACTGTATTTCAATATCAAATATACAAATGATGGGTACCTGTATTTGCTTCATTACTGTTTAAGGGACTTCACAAATTTACTGCCCCAACTCATGCCATCCTGGAGTCCATTGCAATGTCTAGTGCTGGGGACATCAGAGGAGCAATCAATACTCTCCAGTTTGCCTGTCTCAGAGGTATTTCTTCAGATAGGACAGTGTTTTTTAATCCTTTTTGGGTAATACAAATGATTTTCTCTAAGCAAAGTTCATCACATATCGACAAACATATCTCAGGTTTGAGGGATATATATTGAAAGCTGATAAAACTCAAACACTTGTTATTTACAAAATTGTCCTTTTATGATGTCTACATGTTGTATTACCTTTGAGTTATTATGTTCTAAAATATGGGGGGGGGGGGGGGGGTGTAAAATTGCCTTTGGTGTTAATAGATGAGATGAAATTGTTTTCAAGTAAATGGTGATTTGCAAAATAATATTTATGTAAATGTGACACTGTTAATTGAGATGTCTAGGGTATGCTGGTATTTTGGTTTATTGCACCAGTTATATTGTGTGGTTCCCAGATACCAAGGACCTTTTACCAAGTGCTCTAGTCAAAGGGAAACAACCTGTGAAGAAACCGAGAGGAAAAGCCAAGTCCAAGTCATCGGACAAGAAAGATTCAGATCTTGCTTCTATTGGAGGACGGGATACTTCTCTCTTCTTGTTTAGGGCATTGGGCAAAATTCTCTACTGCAAACGTGAGTGTGACTAAAATTCTTTAATATTAAAGTTAATGTTGGCAAAAGTATTTACTTTTACTGCAAAGGTAAGTGTGGGCAAAATCATTCTATTGTAATCATGAATGTAGGAGCAACATTTTCAACTGCAAATATGAATGTTGGAAAATATTCTTAACTGCAAATGTGAGTAGGGGCAATTTTTTTAATGTAAACATAGTATAAAGTACAAAATTCTCTTCTGCAAACATATTAAATTATGAGCAAATTCCCTATTGCAAACATTACCATGGATGAACTTCTTCAGTGGAAAGGTAAGTACATTCAGTCATTGTATTGACAAAGTTTCTAAGTGCAAAGAAAGTATGTATGAGACTGTCAACTGCAAAGGTGTATGGCATTTATTTATACAACAAATTAAAAATGAATCTCCCATCATGTATAGAAGCAGAAATAACCAGTGTGTTATATATTGCTAGGAGATGATCCCAGCGCTCACCCAGACGAGCCTAAACTTGCTGTCCACCTTCAGGAACATCACCGGGACCCTCTCATCATTAACCCAGAGGTGACTAGGGATAGTTACAAACATGTCTCTTACTACATGATTTCTTCAGTGCTGATTTAATGAAGTAAAATTTCTTTGTCATCATAGCAAGAAATTGGTTGGGTCAGAATAATGTAGGTTGTATTCAATATTTAATGGGCAATTTTTTCTTATATTTTTGCCAAAGAAGTATTTTGAAGTGGGTTTTAAAACCAGTTAAACAGTCATTGACTGATATTGTCCATTGATTTTGCTCAGGATGTCGTGGAGAAGTCGCACCTGTCTGGGGACTACTTCAGTGCCTATCTACACCAGAACTACATGGAGTTCTTCACTGACCTGGATGATATAGCACGGGCATCACAGTACCTAAGTGATGCAGACCATCTGACTGAAGACTGGGCAGTAAGTTTTACTTGTCATGACATTACCGTATGAGCTAAATGGGGGTGTTTTAAAAAATACAAGTTAAAGTCTAAAGCAAAACATGAGTTAAAAGGGATGTGGAACTGAATCCTGAAATCCATGCTGGAGGGTGAATTGTTTATAATAATAAAGAAATCTAGTAAATTTATATATATATATATATATATATGTTTCAAATTTTACTTTTATAATGATCTGTTTTATAGAACTTAAACAAGAATTCCACGGGAGTGGATGTGTCGCCTGCTAAGCACTTTTAGTATTAAAGAAAAGTGTTTTGGCTTGAGTTATCGTGTAAACAGATATGCAAAAACGCGGAAAGTTGAGACTAGACAGAAAAACCCTTTTGAACATTATTGCTTCTAGCATTACCGTACACAATTTGAAAGGTATTGATTGAAAATTGAAAAAGCTCTTGCATTTTCTACACAATGCCCTTATTTGGAAATATAAGGGGCATAACTCCACCAAAAATGCACTTATACTTCTGAAATACAAAAAAAACTTGTTTCGGACGACGCAATCGACGTGGACGCCTACAAAGTAATACCTATATGTTGCCTCGCGTTGCAGGCGACACAAAAATTGACTTCACAGCAATAATATGATAGCAACATGAAAAGTTTAAGGATGGAATTTAACCCTCAAAGACATGTATTTGAGATTTTTAATGTCTCATGATAGAATTGTGACATGTTCAATATCTGTTAAAAGGGTTTGCACTACAGATTTGGTTGTATACTTTTTGACAATAGATATTTTATAGATACATGTATGACCTTTTTATAATTCACGAGATAAGTATGGTCAATGATGCTGTAAATTAACTTGTTTTAGCAGTTATTCTATTTAAGCACCTCTTGCACTTTAGATAATGTTTTAAAGTGTTTCTGTATATTGTTCTCTTTTGAATAAATTGTGGGTTCACCCATCAATGTGTTAATCTATTAAATTTGGATAATATTTGGATACAATTTCAGTGCACTAAAATAAGAAAGTTGACAGAACATGATGAAAACTATGAATATAGCAAATTTTGGTCATTATTTACACTAGACTTGTGATGTCAGCAGTGCCAATATTTCTCTTGCAGTCTCGGTCAGTGTTACAGCAGTATGCAGCATCAGTCGCCACAAGGGGGATAATCCATGCTAACTCTGCAAGAGCAAGGTTTTCATCAGCCGGGTCTGGACTTGGATGGAAACCGTTACACAAACCGCAGTGGTACACTGCCATAAAACAGGTAAGCATTACCTTCTTCTGTCGCTGTGCCTTCTCTAGCAAATTTCTGAAATTATTTGCACTTTTAAAATGAAGTGTTCCTATTATTTTCCATACTAAGACAGGCTTTCACATTTTTGTTGTTGTTTGTTTTATTAATTTTTAGTTTCCCTGATATACAATACACACTATGCAGATATGATAACTCTAGTAGCTTCATTCCAAAATACAGAACGTTTTAAAGTATCAAAGGATAAAAAAAAGGTCCCATTTACTTACTTTTGTATTTTGGATAATGAAACAAAGTCCTATAACTGTCTGTGATACAATCTTATTAAAATCATCTGTTACATGGCTTCGCCTGGCGTAGTACAAAGTTAACGAAGCCATGTGTAACATATGATTTTAATCAGATTGTCTGTAATAAGTATTAAAGTTTGATAAGAATCAGTGTTGTGTAAATGTTTTATTCTCAGTTCTAAAGATTTATGAACATTTTTAGAGGTATTGAATTCTTATGTCCAACAGAACGAAACTACTGAAGAATTACTTGTAATTTGATCTCATTTTGTTTTCAGGCCAGAGACAGTTGTGAAAGTGCCAGGTGCCTTTTTAAAGGTATTTAACATTTATACCTATGGGGATTCCACGCTGACAGAGAAAATGTAGATAATGTTTTGTCTGGTTGAAGCGGTGGATGTGCATGAAATTTGACCTCTTGCACTAAAATGAGTACTCTATATGAGTTGCAATGTAAAAAAAATCTACAATTTTCTATACTTTACATAATTCAATCTCATTAAAATGAAACTTCTGAAAAGTGGTTGACTTGTTCAATAAATCTTATGTGAAATGCAGACTCAGTTGAGATCTTAAAACTCATTTTAATTAGTAAGTGGTTTTACTCTCCCTCAGAATACGCCTGGACACCAGAAATACTCCAAACAGAAATCCTGCCTTATCTGTCTGTCATCAACACTACACTGCACCAGCCAGGTGAGATAAGTATGATGGACCTGAGATATTGGGTGGAGTTACAGCCGAGTTGTAAATAATAATCATGTGTCTATGTTGTCTCACACTATCTAATGCAGTGCATGTCACCCTTGTAAAGTACTACTAGCATCTTCCTACTGGCTCTGCTAAGGTGTCAATCTAGTAAACGGAGGTCTAGAGTTCGATCCCTGGCTGAAGTATTAAAAATAATGACCTCCATTACATATTGAGTTATCCTAATTTTCCTTATTTTTATTTAGGTCAAGCATCATTTTTACAAGAATTCTGTAGGTTTTCTAAGTTAAAGATTCCAGGAAGGTAAGTTCACACATCCATAATGTTTTAAAAAATGTACCATCTTTATCACATGATTCTTAAAAACCAGAATGTTGACATACTCAACTTTTGAGTGTAAAATGTAAATATGTTGTGTAATAAATATTTCAAAGGGATACACAATTGTTCAGGCCAACTTTTCCACCATCCTTCACAGAGTTGTCTCCCATTGCGAGTGAACTTCTGCGACCACCTAGAGTGGAGAAAGTTTACAGATGCTGGTGATGTCAATTGAATGACATAACTTTTTGTAATTAGATAACATCAAATTATGTTCGGGCAGTTGGCAGGCACAGAAAGCAAGGTTTTTACAGACATTTGGGTATTGAATGTTAAACATTCCACAGAACTTTAGGTTTCAACATTAAAGAATCTCATTCCCATGATTGAGGTATCTTTGTCATACCCTCTATGTAGGGAAAGATTTGTTTAAACATATTTTATTGTACAAATATACAAATGGATCGGACAACAAGTTATTACAACTTAATAGAGTCCTCTCCTCAATACATATTGTAAAAATAGTGTATATGTTTTTGGGGAAAGGGAAAAAGGTAGGTTAAGGAAGGAAATGTGGGGTGGGAGGGGGTGGGGGTGATGGAGGGGACGGATGTTACCTAGAAAAGTAAACTTGTTAACTGAGAAATCGATCTGAATTTGTATAAATTAAAAATTAAACAGATTTCATGACATGCATCCTGGTAGAGTAATTTCAAAATGAACAGAATCAATGTAACAAATAAATCAGGCAAAATAATGAAAAACAATTTATAAACACATATAACAACTTAAACATAAATAAAAATAGAAAAGTAATTATAACTATCAAAACCTTTTGATGGATTTGATGTAATGATGCACATGTCTAAAGATACCTATGTAGTTTTCTATCAGGGAAAGATTCTGTAAGTGACCTGGAAAAAATTAAGAATGAGAGAAAAATCAGTATTCATGGTGTTTAAAAAATTTAAAACAAAAGCCTAGCAAATCTGTCAATAGTTGGCTGAGATGTAACACATGTTCTTCATGGATTGAATGTCTCTTTCCAAGAAGCAGTACATTTTCTGCTATATACAAATGATTTTAAAATTGGGGAAGACATCTTAAATATTACAGGTCCGAGAAACTGGATGAGAAAGATGTTGATACGGATGAATCTCCTCCTCCATCCCAAAGTATGGAGATCAAGTCTGTTCAGGATGATGATGAATTCGTCAGCAATAGCCAATCAAAAGTCAGAACTGCTCAGGAAGAGGAGGAGGAGCTAATAATAGAAGATTTTGATGACTGATGTAAATTTATACAAGTAGCTCTCTACTAGAGTAGGAAAATACAACCACTTGATTGTTTGTGGGAGTTCAGATAAGGTGCTACACCTCTGACAAACAGGAGAGACAACACAGCTGCTGTATCATTTGTTGGAGCGTTTAGGTGATGTGCTCTTCCCTTGTCTGACACGCTGTAGGGAGACAACACAAACTAGAAAGGAGACAACACAATTGCTGTAATTGTTTGTTTGAGCATAGAGGTAAAAATACTAGATCTCTTACTGACAGAAGGGACAACATAACGGCGACTGTATTATTTGTGAAAGAATTGAGTCTAAGTGCTTTACCTCATGTTTGTGAGAGAATAACATTTAAGTGCTTATTCGTCCTGCGTGATAATTAAATACAAGTGTCTAATGTGTTGTGAGAGAATTAAGTATAAGTGCTTTACCTCATATTTATGATAGAATTTTGTTAAATGTACCATGCATTCAAGACATTAAAGTAAAGTTTCTGTCGTAGGTTTACAAATTAATTTAAATGTTTGAATGTTTTCTTGAATATGCATTACCGATTGTAATTTAAAAAGAAATGCCTTAGACATTTTGTAGAGGATGGAGTTTGAAACTCGGATAATAGGAGTACTAGTGCTCCTATTCCCAGTGCCTTCTGTGGAGGCAGTTGTCGTAGATGGTACAAAATACACAACTGTAATCAATTAATTTTTATGGGTGTTTATTTTCCTGTTGATTCTTGCGTAAAGTTCACATATTGTGCAATTTGTTATTCAAGCACATCTCAACATGAGTTATTTGTTGATGTCAATTCTTCTCTTCATTTCACAAATTAAAACACTCGCCAATAAATCATTGTAAGCATAATCACGAAAAATAAGTATTGATTGATAAATGGTAATATTTTGTGAGGTATTATTTCTAGGTAGTTTGAACCTGAAGTTTCAGGTGTAGAAATAAACTTCTTGATAATATTTTTTCAAATGTTACAAGTGCTAGTTAAGTTATTTTTCACTGCTTAACTTATAACTGGGTCTGTTTATGTTTTAACCATCTGGCTAGACCCTGTATCGTTACAAACATGTTATTTCTGAAGTTATTTATTTGTGTCCTAAACTGTTACTCAACTGTACTTTGTGATTGTTAAGCAAACCAGTCATTTTAAATAAAGTAATTTATCCGATTTGCAATTATTTTGACATTAAAGTAATTTATACATTCTATCACACTTTCAAAAATTTAAATTGTACATGTATGCCAGAATCTGCTAGGGTCACTTTGAGTAATAAATGTCTCACACATTTCACTGGATTGATCAAGGACAAACAGTGAAACTAGTACGGAGGATATTATAAAATGGACACTACTTGATTACCTCCTTTTTTTACCCACAATACTTAGATGATCAGGTGTTGCCTTAAGTTTGAGATATGTCATCCAACTGTCATCTGGCCCTAAACATTTCTTGCTCACGATGTACTGGATGGACATTTTTCAAATTGAATTAGTAGAGACCTATTGTTACTTGGTTGCATATTCCGCCTTTGTGTATTACAGAGTTATCTTCCCTTGTGTGCAGGTATTGATTGTTACGTCATTGGTTTGTGTGAGAAAATTACGTTGTTTTCTCAAACATTGATGACGTTACTCTCACAAACCGATGACGTAACAATCAATACCTGCTTACAAGAGAAGATAACTCTGCAATACGCAAAGACGGAATATATGCATGTTTAATTTTGAAGCTTAATTGCAATAAAATAATGTCTGTTAGGTGGCCATGAATCTGGCAGTTAAAGTTGTATTTGCTTTTTCCAAAAATAATTACGGGAGGGATTTTTTGCGTATTTGACAAGTAGTTTTCTGTTAGTCCATTGTTGTGCATGAACAAGATGACTGGGAGGTGGCCATCTTGGATTTTGACAGCTAAAAGTTTGTTATCACTTTTTTTCATTTTATCTACAACGTCAGTAATCTAACAACATCAAAATAATACATATAACCACAAAAAATAATACAAAAATTGTATATCACTTGCGCGGGGATGAATATATCGCTGTGTGAAAATGCCGTGAAATGTCACAAAAAGATACCAGACAGGTCGGAGAGATAGAAAAATCTAGGATGGGGTTTCATGTGGGATATCCCTGTCTTAAGTTCGAGAATAGTTTGTCCAGAGGCTGGTGATTGAATTGCTCACAATACTCTTGTTCTATATGGTCACAGCCTATTCCCTTATAAATATGGGATGAACTCTTCCCTTTTTAAAGATGACATACAGTCAAACCTGTATTAAGAGGCCACCCAAGGAACCGGCAGAAATTGGCTACTTAAGACAGGTGGCTGCTAAAACCAGGCTCAACAGAAAATCACAACCAAGTTTTCATACATCCATGGGTTATAATGAAAATTTCCCGGCAATATAGGCTGCTATGTTATTTTGAACTTTTCTCCCTTCATCAACAGGGGTACGATTTCATACTTGAATATAAATGCATAATCAATGAAATACAAAGGCGTTTTGGTGATTAATTTCTTGAAATGATGAACTTATTTTTGTTTGGCTACACACGTGTTCCATATACGTTTTGCGCTAGCAGACAACCACCAGTACTGAAATCTACATGTAGATCTACTATTAATGAAAATCTGCATTGCGATGTATTCTGATCTATGTGGTTCAAATAGTTTTCTAATGAAATGATATATCAGTATTTAGTTAATTAATGACTTATAAATAAATCACTCAATGAATCTAGAACTTTGCAAGAATCTTTGAGCTTTTAACTTAACGTAACGGTTTATTCACAGCACCCATGCGCCATATGGAAAGGTTAACACTAATGTCCTGATCTGGCACAGCTATTACAAACCAAATAAATATATTAAAGAAATAAATCACGACGTAGTATTGAAAAAAGAAATCTGATTCAGCGTCTGCACTGTGAAATTTATCCTTTGGACATGTGTGCTTCGTTGAGCTAGAAATAGTGACTGGCAGACCGGAAGCAGTTTTGTTTATAAAACATTGTTGATGGGTCGGTAGGACCTGTCCCAATTTGCAAGCTGAAAATCGCTGTGTAAACAACTTGTCAATTCAACGTGTCAAACCTCAGGCCATAATAAATTAATTGCTAGATTCTCATCCAAATTCTTTTCAAAATTGGGGCGGGGGGGGCGAATTTTATTTTTTATTTTTTATTTTTCCTAAAATTTGAAATGGTTGCAAATGTGTTAAAATAGTGCAATAAAGGCGCATGTTCAGTGTACATTTATCTTTATTTTTTGTTAATAACAACTTTGAGTATGCAGTATACACATTGAACACCATTTCACTGTTCATGCCACATATATATATCTGTACTAACTTTTGGTATGAATACACACCACATTACTTTTTCACATATCGTCCTCTTTTAATTACAGTGACCTTGCCATTGGCCAAACAGTTCTGGCATATGGGGTAGTTTTCCTCAGATGTAGCCACATTGTCATCTGTGCCACAATGGAAGCATACTGCTTCGAAACCAGCAGAGAAATAGGCCAGTTCAACTGGCCCATCACATTTCAGATTTTTTCTTACAAACACTGATTTTAACACATTTTCTTGTTTGGTTTTTACATCAGCGAAATCAAAACCACACGTGTACGACAAATCGCCCAACATAGTTTGCAATTCCTTTCTTTTCTTTCCTCTTACAACATGCTTGCAGTAGAGAAAACGAGGCTTGTCACATTCAGAACAGTATATCACCATTTCAACATTTTTAGCAGTTTGGGCGGTGGGTGAGAATTGCATACCATGCCCAGGACCTGGCTTGTGTCCTAGTGAGGGCCTGTGCTTTTCACTAGTTTCGTGTCCATATATGATGTAACTGATCAAAGGACTTGTACTTGTCACCAGTATCAGGTTCTGGGTCTGGCAGAAAGTGAAGTCCTTCAAAGGTATCTGCAGGTAAGTTTGGTCGTTTACAAAGAGTGCAGGTTGCCTTCCCACACTTTTTGACACAGAACATTTAAAGCTCCGAGGTACGACACCACTTCCCCCACCGTACATGCGCCATCACACTGGGTCAGTTCCACTTTCGATTTACCGGCCGAAAACAACGGCCCTGTTACCACACTCTACGGGCGCAGATTTGTCAATTGTTCCTTCGGCTAATTCATGAAAGACTTGCATTAATGTTTTAGTATCGGCTACTGAACACCCACTCCAATCTTTAAGAACGGCAAGTTGCCGTTTCAGCTTTAGAATTACAAAAACCATACTTGCAGACGACGAGTTTTCTACAACCGGATATTGATAATATAAAACTAATTTTTGAAGCGGAAAACGGAAAAAAAATCCGGATTTCGTATTTTCGTTTTTTTTTTGCAAATAAAAAAAATTGGGGCGGGGCCTCAAAGAGGGGGCGGGCGGGGATGAGAATCTAGCAAATAATTTATTATGGCCTTACCTATGGTTTTTAATTACACATTGTAATTAGCTTTGCTCTATTGAGATGTATTCTTGTTAATATATTGTGATCTTCTTAATGTCAATTTCTGGACAAAATGACGGCAGAATACAGGTGGAGATAACGTCTCGGGCCAGAGTGTTGTGACCGCTGGCCGCATTAGACAGGTGGCTGCTTATTTCAGGTTCATTATATAGTTTTTTTTCTATCGGGCGGACCACAGGCAGACCACATAAGGGAGGTGACTGCTTATTTCATGTGACCGCTAAAGCAGGTTTGACTGTATATACAAATTTAAATTGGCAAAAAACAGAGAATGTGAAAGCGAATTATTTAATTTTACACCAAAAAGATTGTAATTCAACAAACAAACGTTATTTACCCGAATAAAAATGAAAATACTTTCATTTAATCGTCAGCATTGTCGTCGCCGTCATCGACACCAATCTATTTAACTACGTCACTTTCTTTGGAATTATCATTGATCATCATCGTCATCACCAAGCATCATATTGACCACATCTAAACTTCTACGAAAAGAACGGATGAAACTGGTGTGTTGACTCTGTGCTCCTCTCGATCTCTTCAATCTTTTTCCCATTTCGTCTCCCCTCTGCCATTCGTTTCTTTTTATTTTGGCGAGCTCGCTCCAGCCTCTCTGTCTACTGTTGCGTCCATCGGCAAACCAATTTGCTAAAAAACACCCCAAAAGACCAACAAAATACTCCCAAAACGACCCCAAAACACCTCAACGGTAGCTTTCAGCTAAACATTTTATGTTTTTTATTTTAACTGTTTTACGTATCCTTGTATGCAACACATTCTATCGTCTGTGTTATGCTGCCAGAAAGTGGAAGTAACATGTGTCTGGCAAAATCTAACGCTGCTAGTTAGGGGAAGTACGGCAAGACAGTTTACCCAACACTGTCTTTTTTCAGACAATGTTACTGGAAATTCTTAAGTTAATGTCACCCTGGTGAAATACTAGCGGCTTCGATTCCTACAGACACGCATAGGGAGAACGTCATTTGAGCTAATTATAGGTCCCGGGTACGACTACTAGCAGAAGCATTGGGGAAATAATGACCTGCTACATTGGCGCCCACGTATAGGGAGATATTGACATATATACTTTCAAAATAATCGCTATGGCCCCTGGAAAACTCGGAACGAGACCTGTTCTGGAGGGAGGAGTATGTCATCCTGGTAAAAAAAACTAGCCACTCCTATCCGACCATATATATGTCATTTTTTTTTTTTACCGAAATTCGATATAAACCCCTTAAACATGTAAAATTACCTTGGTCACCTTAGTTTAGGTCCAAATATAAGCTGTAACAAATTCTCAGGCCCCTGTGGGTACAACGACATGACGATGTTAGAATAACGATGGTGCGATGATTTGATGGCGATGATGGTGCGATGACTTGATGACGATAGATAAAATAGAAATGGTTTCATTATCGGATGGAAATTGTATGATGTCGATGATAAGATGTTGATAGAAAGACAATATGATGAATATGGTGCAATGACATGACTGTGAAGGTCACGAATTGTGAAAAGTATATAAAGTATAGCGAATCAATTGTGAGTTAGATATGGACGTAGTATGAACTAGGTATGTGTCGTTTTCAAAGCTGCCGTGCTTTTAATTTAAATGGCAACACCATAGCCAGTCTTTACTCCAGACCCTTCGTAATGCTAGATAGTCAAACCAGTGCTTTTCATAGAAACGAAAAGGCGCCAGATGATGTTTCCTCCTGCAGAAATATTACCGTGCCATTGTCCTTGTCTACGCACGTTATGATGTGTCTGTAAGTTGTTTATGAAAAGCAATACCGTCGAAAAACAGAATATTGACATTATCATGTTCTATTATCTAGCAAATAAATAATGGCTTTCAAGTTTCTGCTGGTATTTGTGCGGGCTTATAAGTCAACTTTAGCAGTGACACAGGTTAAGTCTATCTATCTATTTGTGTGGAAATAGGACGTGACTCGTCAATCTATTTATTTTCTGTCAAATATAGGAGACATTGATGCAGTGTCAGGCCTCGCAGGTTTTGACACTGTATTTAGAGACTGAGTCAGTTCTATATATCAGGGTTCCTGCCGAGACAGGGATGCATGCTATTGTACATTGCATGGAAAATACGTAAATAGTTGTAAAGCGCCCCCGATACACATGATAATATCATAATTTTGTACGACAGATTGTACACGCATAAAGTCGTAACGAAAAAAGATAACTGCTGTCTGCCACAGAACAGGATACTAATTATAAATGTGAAGTTAATGTTGTTTTCAATATCGTTCAGCACAGTGCACTGACCTTGGTACACTTGCTGGGTTATAACATTATAAACACTATAACCTTGCCATCACTTTCCACGTGATAAAGAAATGTACATTTTGTATTACTCTCTAAATGTCGGGAATGATATACAGAATGGTACACGACTTAGGATCCATTCAACGAGGTCCAATTTGACGTGAAAAGATTTTCGGCCACCTGCCCGACCACGTAGATTTTCTCCAGGCACACTGCTTTCTCCATGCATTAAAACCCAATGTGTACTTTCACCCAGTAATTTCTGAAAAAAAGGTGATCCAATCTTCAACTGTTAGAGCTCTACTCAAACTTCCATCATTGAGGCCTGAAGAGGGGGGACATCTCTCTCGATTTAAAAAAAACCCACCGTCATTTGCACCCCTCCCCCAACCCCTCCGGATAAGTCTCTGTGACGATACATGTGTACAGATAAGGTCATGGGCCCTCGAGGTTTTCCATATGTACTGTCTTTGTTACCAAACTCTTCAAACGTGAATACAGATACCAGAGTTCATCCCTGTCGTCACCGCGACGGGATCTTTTCTGTAAAGCTCATTTAATAGATCCAAGTGTGATAGCGAAAGTGATCTGGGTATGTGTAAATATTTATATAGACCGAATACCGATTGTCACCTAGATTAACCTTAGTAAACTACCTACTGTACCATGACCTTCCAAACGATTCTGTTTTTCTCTCACGAAATCATTTTTTGTGTGAAACGTCAAATCCAACATACATCACAATATTATATTGCTGGACAACGAATATTAATTTAGTTACTAAAACTCCTTTAAGCCCACAGTACACTTAAAAAAAAAATATTACGCATAAAACAACACGCGATAAAATGGTTGTTTGCTTATATTTATATTAACTATACATAATGCATTTTTTTTATTTGACATCATTTTGTTCAATAGAAACCAGAATAGATCAACGTTGAAATATTTAACAAATACTGATATTTTAACTAATCCTTGCCTTGAACACCAACTGTGCGAGTACTAGATTTCTCCGGGTACTCCGATTAACTCCCTCTATACTGCCATCCGGGCTAAAAGAATGGTTGATATCAATTGATAAAAAATGATAAACACTTGTTGTTAAATACGTTCTTGCTGCATTATATTCTCTCGGTAACAGAGAACATTGTCGTACGACTAGACTCGCACAACAAACAAACACCTAAACAAACAAGCCTATAACTTACATGTGTACAGTACATGACCGGGCCATTTACGTCCCACCGCAGCTAGACGAGCTTTGACGATATCATTATGCAAAGTTACCGGATCTGTGTTATATATTATGTACGGTGTGCCTGTCATCATTCTTCACTTGTGTCTAGCGTCGAAATGTGTTTACAGTCGGTCCCCTCATACGAGGCTGCGATGTTATGATATTACGGGAGAGATAAATGACACACACCATCAGAGGTAAGATACCATAGTATGTGTAACATGTAACCTGTAACGAAACCTGATAAAATTAACAGAAAAGATAGGTCAGATTAACCTGTCTAAACCGACCTAACATATTGATAAGATTTTGGAAGTTATAACAAATGGTGTTTAATTATTCATTCTTGGGTTAGATTTTTGATCCAGTAAGGATGTAAGGATAGTTAGTCTTTTTTATAATTTTGTTGAGAGATGGGATCACATTATTTTATCGTATGTCGGAAAACTCCGATTATTCAAGTGTCACTCTACAAAACTAATGTCAGTCTTGCTTATAAACTTTATATTTATTCGGAGTAGTTCTGTCACGTTGCCGTTGTTGTCTCGTCTCAAAGTTATAATCCGGTCTGTCGCTTACCTTTTGATTATATTTAAACGCTATCAGGAGAAAATGCATTCATAGTGCGACGAACGCAATAAGAGTAGAGTCATATTAACGCTTCTCCTCTCGCCTCGAATAACATTTACGTGACGTCAGGCTATTTCAAGAATATCGTTTGCACAAAAAATGCATCAATACAACAAATCAGATATAATACCTAGATTAAGATAATTAATAACTATCAATTAAAAATGAAAATACTCTCATAAAAAGTTTTTCGCTTACCTGGTCCGAAGGACCATGGTGAGCTCATGCCATACCGCGGCGTCAGTCGTCTGTCGTCCGTCCGTCAATTTTTCATTTAAAATGCTACTTGTCCTGAACAGCTTTATTGATTTTGACCAAATTTGGCCTGGAGCATCCTTGGGCAAAGGGGACTCAATTTGTAAAAACGGAGGATGTGGCCCATCTGGGTGCTGAGGGTCGATGCCCAATAGAGGAATTTGAGGTTTAAACCTTTAAAATCCTTCTTATTCTGTACCACTGGAGGGATTTTATCCAAATTTGGCCTGGAGCATCCTTGGGCGAAGGGGACTCAATTTTGTATAAACGAAGGATGTGGTCCCTCTTGGTGCATGGATATGGGGCCCAATAGGGAAATTTGCTGTTAAAATCTTCAAAATCCTTCTTTGTCTGTACCATTGGAAGGATTTTATTCGGATTGGGGACTACGTTTTGTATTAATTGAGGTTGTTGTCCTTTTGAATGCAGAGGCGGGGTCCTAGAGGGGAATTTGAGGTTAAAATATTTAAAATTCTTCTTCTTTACCATTGAAGTTATTTTAACCTAATTTGGCTGGAGCATCCTTTTGAGAAGGAGACTGACTTTTATATAAACGGAGGGTGTTGCCCCTCTGGGTGCAGAGAGATAGGACCCAAAATGGTAATTAGAGGTTTAAATATTTAAAATCCTTCTCCTTCAAAATGAGTGATTCTTTTACCAAATTTGGTCCAGAGCATCATTTTGCAAGGGGGACTCAATTTGGTTTGACCGAGTGTATTCCCCCTGGGAGCAAAGGGGAAGGGTTTAGGAAGGGGGACATGGTAATAAATGTTTAAAATCCTTTTCCTTCAGTTTAGTTGGAGGGTTTTAGCCAAATTTTGTGTAGAGTATCCTTGGGTAAAGGGGACTAACTTTTGTATAAATAGATGGTTGCCTTTAGGGAGCAGATGGGCGGGCCCAATAGGAGAAATTGAGGTTAATCCATCCCATTTCATGGACAGAAAGAAGGGACCTAATGAGGAACGGGTGTTGCTGAGAGACGGGGCCATTATTTAAAAATAGTTGCAGTATTATATGTTATAAGAATAATTTTCCATGGTTGCTTTATTTTCCAGGTGAACGATACAGGCTCTCTGGGCCTCTTGTTTAACATTTGTGCTTGCAGGAACGCAAACTGTATATATTTATGATTAACACGAAGTCCTATTAAAATCTGCGTTCATGCAGTCATGGATGTTTAAACCGTATTTGTTGTCAATCGAGTGTTTTGAGGTAATTTGAACTTATGCATCCAATAGCGTGAGGTGGTCTGAGGGAAGCTTTAAGTGTATAAAAAACAACGATTACCAGTGAATACATGTTATGAAATACAAGTCTTGAAATATGTAAAAATGTTGCAACACGAACAATCCTTGAATTGGAGTATTGTGGAATGGTCATGACCATGACTCCAATACATGGAACCTTTATGAAATGCCATTGGACTGGCATGCTCATATGCAAAATCTGGCACATGTTATCTAGATAAGTACGCGTACGAGCTATCCAGTACACACATGATGTATGTATATTGGATATTAACGGTACAATAAATAGATATACGATCTCCAACTTTTATATCATTCCTCGGTTTAGATTGTGCAGGAATCCTTGGAGGTGACCGAATTCAGACCTTACGGTTACTGTGATTGGCTGATAGGAAAGCCACAGGGAGCGTTCCATTGGTCGGCATACTTGTGTAGGTAGTCACATCAAAGCTATCAGAACCTGGGAGATAATCGACGTTAGTACATAACTTAGGGTAAGTCTAATCTTTCGTGGAAAACAACTTTCGTCCCTCCATTCAAGCTTAGTTATGCATTGGTTTGTCTTCACGGCTTAAAAGATGTACTAAACATTTCCCTTCCTTCATCTTCCTGTTGGATAGAAGCTAGTGCAATACCAAGGAATAATGGTGGATTGTAGCAAGAAGCGGGTTGCTATTATAGCAGTAGTTGTGATCGTTTTAGCTGCTATTATAACACCCATAGCTTATTTTGTGACAAAAGAGGACAAACGCAAGAAGGTTGATACGCCTGCTGTCGTTCCTCCTGTAGCACATGCGCCTCGTCGACTGGCGGACAGGATCAACTGCATCCCAGAGAGTGATGGAAACGTTGTAACGATAACACAAGACCTGTGCGAAAGTAGATACTGCGATTTTATTCCTGCAACCACAGCATGGAATGCTGCTTGTGTGTTTCCAGCTCGGAAGGAGTACGGATTTTCTGTTAATGGAAGTGTACAAATCACTATAATGGGATGGAAGGTCTATCTCAAGCAGAAAGGGATGCATGCATTCAACAGCACACCATTTCGAAGACCGTACTTTGAGGTTCAGATGCCTGACGAAAATCTCATTCGATTCAAGGTAAACTGATTTTAAGATCCAATTAGTTTTACATTCGTAATCATATACTGTGTTTCACGAAAAGTTATATTAACGATGATGTACTTGAATGACTGTTTGCAAGATATTCAAGTTTTGTATTCGAATCTCTAAGGGAATTCATGCAAAAATAACTATCTTCTTTGCTCTCATCAAAGATGTGTCGTGTTACGGTATACACTATCTGCCTGCCCAACCGTTAACTTTCTTCTTTGTCTACTCTTTCCTGTCTTACATGTTGATTTTTGTTTTTGATACATATATTGCTCGAACGAGTTTGCATTTATGAATTTTTCGTGTATTTATAATAGGTTGTGGCCCTTTGTTCAACGTTTGTCAACAGCATAATTTGCATGCTATTTAATATACATTCACCAAACTTGCTATACTAACGATCTTTGGCAGAGGGAGTATCTGTAACTTAAATTCGGCCTCGTACACCTCCATATGTAGAGATATTGCCCTTTGTTCAATTTTGAATCCTACGATTGTCCTTAAAATAATTTCATTGAAATTTCACTTTTTATCACCAAACTTTTGATACTTATGTACTTTGGGAAGGCAGACTGTTGCATATCTTAATTGTACCTAATTATGCATTTTATAACACTTGTAAATTTATAGGCACACATTTTTGTTAAAATGATTTAGGATATGAGCGAAAGGAGACAATTCGTATACAAAACTTTGTACTTTCTATAAAAGGTAAGGTTGAACGGCACTGCCTTGTCTTGTTCCATCTGCTAGTAAATTAAATAACAGTGCGTTTTTCATTTTCTCCTGAGAAATGTAGAAAACGTGATCTAGCTAATCTGACCAAAAAGGTCAAGTGTGTTGATGCCGTGTAGTATTTTTATTTTATTTAATCCAATTAGACCAGAACGGCTGAAGGGATTATGACTTAAGGGCTTAACGTAGTGTAAACAGATGGTTTTGCTCCACTGGGACTAAAAGACGGGCCAACAGGTGAAATAAACGTAAATTTTAAAATATCACTCCTTCAGTTCCGGTAAAGGGATTTTTTTACCAATTCTTCCAACCTGTATGAATCACTCCCGTTTTAAAGGATACATAGTGTAATGTATGATTTAAACAATTCGCGATACAGATTTTAGAGAAGTATTGAGCAATTTCGATGGTACAACAACTATTTCGCACAATAGGGCTACAGTAGATAGCGGAGGAACGAAGCCGTTACGACTGGTACAATTTTGTTTAATGTTTTTTCCCCCGCAAAGTAGTTTAGTTACGGTATGGTAAAGTCACATACGACTATCATAAAGCTTCTTTTGTCTGCGGAATGTTTGACCTGGTTTCATGATTTTGTATTTTTAAAGACTTGGTTACAAACACCAAAGCTTCGCCTGAGAAACGCACCTTTATTTGTTTGACGTCGTTTTCTCCATTTTTTCACTACTGTACAATTATATTTACTGAACGATAATAAATCCACATGTAGTCGTATTACTTTTATCGTATCAGCGTGTTTGTTTTTTGGATGGTAATAAAAAAGGCTGTTAGAAGGAACTGTGTATAAGAATGCCACCTGGGTAAAAGTCAAGGTCATGAGCGGAACTGATGCCCACGTAGATAGGCTTCGACCAAAACACGCGGCGTGTTTGTTCTAGATAAAACTGGTCAAAACTTATCCAGTTTAAACAGGGTTTTATAGGGAGAAAGCATCTGTATAATACCACCACGTAACTACATTCTCGCTACGAAACCACAAGCTCACCACGTAACCACAACCTCCATCGCTACCAGTGCATGCCGTGTCGTCTGTGTGCGACTGTCTAATACCCTTGTTTTATGTATATATTTCATTCAGTCAAACAAGCAATTTAGTATTTCGATTGAAACATAATTACAAAATATATTTCTCAAACAAACCGAACACACATCTACCAACTGATTATCAAATGTTTATTTGAAATATTTTATACTTACTACATAGGGTTTTGCGTCAAACTGACGTCGTCGTTTTGTTTAGAATCTGATATCTCCATTACCGGCTGGTATGTCACATTGACTGTTAATGGGTAACAGAATGCGTCGTTTTATAGACCTGCTTAAGGGAAGTAAAACCTCGAAATGATGACCCTTGTTTCATATGCCACCTCGCTTACCGTCAATCACAAGGTCTCTGTTGATCCTGTGTTTTGTAGGAATTTCTATACTGTAACATAGTCCCTCTTTACATTGTCAAACCTCTTTAAAATGCAATAAAGGGAATATCTGCTTAAACCATGGCAGTATTTAAGCATTGAACTGTTTTTGTATGGTATTTATGATCTATTTGAATGACACAGCTTTGCAAGCAAACAAATCATAATGCGCGCTAGCTTCCAAAGAGGCCATATAGTGACAATGCCATGCAAATGTAAATATGTCTGAATATTTACATTTGCATGGCATTGTCACTATATAGCCTTTTTGAAAGCTGTGTCGTTGATGGGACTTTAATTACCATGCATCACGGGACAAAATTCTTAGTGTATTAATACAACACTGACTGGAACTACAATATCCAATACAAATAAACATGACGGCTGCTGAAATATCGCTGGGCATTGTGAGATTTGACAATGTCATTGTAAATTTATGTGCAAAATACAAAATAAAATAAAAAAACACTTTTATTACAACCAAAACAAGACCAAGGTCTGCAATATCGTACAAAATGCACATCGGTTGAAATCACCAATGCCGGCAATGGAAACAATTTTAACGCTCATGCAATTTATCAGAAATATCGTCTGTTACACTGCACTGATCAACAGGGGTTCGTTACAAATGTCTGAAATACACATATTCTATAGACCTACTGGAACATATGTTACAGACCTATTGATATGAGTCACAGCACACATAAACATTTCAGACATTTTGTAACGAACCTGTGCTCCGTCGCAAGATCACTCACTTCAAACGCTATCAGTTTCACGCGTCTCGCATCCACGGTTCCTGATTTCTGACGACATGTCAAATAACGA